ACAGAGGCACGGACAAATCTCTGAGTCCGAGATAATGATGATGACATGATTCATGATTAGATTTGCACTGAATGTAATTATATCACAATGGGACCAAATCACCCATCTGTGAGCCCTGAAACCTTTTCAGAGAACAGGTTTTAGGCTCACAACAAGTCAGGAAAGATCTCTCCTGGAGAGGGCGCTTAACGCTGGTTACGATGACATCATTCAAGTATTGCTGTATGTATTATTTTGCTCGCGTTGACCCTACAAAAAAGGGACGTTGGTAGAATCGGTTGTTATGCATCCTTAGTGTGTTTAAATACTTATGTAATGTTTACATGTTTATATTTTGTCATGTCTTTCTTTGTATGTGGATGTAAATATTGCCTGTACTGTCCTCACTGTAAGCATTAATAAATAAGATAACAATTGATAATTGTCTCTTTTACTACTTAGAAAGATGGATAATGCTTTACATTATAAAACAAATATATATGTATGTATATACAGTATATATATATTTATATCTATATATAATAATATATCTAATAAAAATAATGTTTTACTTTGACATAAATTGTATCTGCCAAGTCATACATCAGGGGCGTCAAACATGTGGCCCGTGGGCCAAAACCGGCCGAGTAGGGGGCTCAACACGATGATGTTTTGTCAAATGATCTTTCATTACATATAGTAGTAATATTATTTTCTAATATACTTGTACTTATTTGCATGAAAACAAAGGAGGGGGGGGGTTACACAGACTTATTGTTGTCAACAGGTAATTATGTCATGATTGTACTGGTTCCGGCCCACTTGACATCTAATCAGGTTGTATGTGGCATCTGGACCAAAGTGAACTACAGTATATAGAATATAAGAGTTCTTTTTGATGAGTTGCTGACACGTTTGGACGAATGGTCTTTTTAAATAATTAATAATTTTAGCAAACTATATTCAAATATGACTCCACTCAAATGCAATGTTTAATTTTCTTTCTTCTGCCATGTGTTTTCATCCCATTTTGATCAGTCGGCTGGTGCATCACCTAATGACATCACTGTCATTTAACCCCACATGTCGTCATTTGAAGTCGTCGTGTCAGAAATGATGAGGCTGTTGAAAACGACGAAAATGACTTTGAGTCTCTGAATTAAAAACAGCTGAATTGAAGCCTGACTCTTTCAGGGATCAATGAACTCCCTCACCACTGAGCAACACCAGATTCTGTAAATGTAAAAGAAAGTTGGAAAACAAAAGTTTTCAAAGCCGTAACAACTGCTTGCTAAGTGTTTTTTTTTTCTGGTATTCCCTGACTCACACTCTCCAGATTTAACATCAGGCTCCTGGCAAAGACTTTCCAGTGGTGACACACAAACATGCTCCGTCTTCACTGGCTGTTTGCTCTCATTGTACATGACTGCCTCTGCACCGTCTTGTAATGGCCCACTGTTGACTCAGTGTGGGCTGTGGGCATGCTGGGTACACCCATAGTTGTCTCAGAAATGAGAACATGTCATGCCAAACAGGAAACCTCGGTCAGGAGGCAGGCTAGGGCTGGAAACTGTTGTGAAATAACATGAAGCCGTTTAGTCCGAGTGGAAGAGACTGCACTGAGGAAAACACAGCGTATTTTTGTCCTGTGTGATTGTGAAACTCTGTTTTCAAATCTTATTTCACATCTGGACTCATTGGTCAACAATCAGAATGTACATTTAAATAGTGGGGATTAATAAAAACATATGCTTTATTTATTATTAATTAAACTATCCCCGTTTTAATGCCATTGTTCCCAAAGTGGGGGGCACGGAATTATTGCAGGTCTTTTTTTTCGTCATTTGTGTAACACTGGGAATTTGATTTTTTAGGAATTAGAATGTTTGAATTAATAAAGTTCAGTGGCATTTTGAAGTAATTTACAAAAAGTACAAAAGGGGGCGCTGCAGAAAAAGTTTTGTTTTCTATAGATTATTTTTTCTCTCTGACTCCGTCTGCAAAAGCCACCTGCTGCTTCAAATCACAGCACAGTTTATGTCACTCGACAGCTTGTTACTACGACTGCTGCCAGTTCACACTTCGTCCCTCTTATATGGTGGTGATAACCACCGGCATAAAAAAAAAAATAAAAATACTCATCTCTACATCCACACACTGGTTTAGCTAAAACCAAAAGGTTAAACTTCCCAGAAAAGGCTCCAAACACAGAGTTAAAGTCTGCAGTCAGTGGAAAGTTATTATGTCAAGAAAAGAAAATAATTATATATCTATTTTTGTTTTTATTTTTTTCACCTGCCAAACACTGGCTGTTTCTGAGGTTACTTCAGTTGAACCACTAAGTTACTGACACTGGCTGCAGTAACGGCTCATTGAATCCTCTCCTGTATGTGATTATGAAGCCAGTGAAGAGTCGGAGTTCAGGTCGGAGCTGGAGGAAGTCTGTTCAGACCAGTAATGATCTCAAACCAGCTGAGCAAAGTCTAAACCACGAGACGATGATAATGTGTGATGAGCTGCAGGTGTGTGTGTCTGTGGCTAATTAAAATTTCAGGTGTGTGATTAAGTGGATGCTGCGAACTGATTGGTTCTTCCAGTAAAGGTTCCAGCATAAAAACCTGGACTCATTCATTTGCTGGGGATTTTACTTAGGATCAGTCAGACTGAACAACTTGTTGAAGTTTTTTTGTTTTGTTTTGAGGGTTTTGTTGTTTTTGTTTTGTTGTGGCACTTCATTTTTTTTTTTTTTTTGTGGCACTTTATTATATTTTATATTTATATTTATATTTTTAATGCTGGTCACGTCTTAGGAGTTTTGAGTATATATTTTATATATATATTTATATTTTTAATGCTGATCATGTCTTAGGAGTTTTGAGTTGAGGTTGATACGAACAGACATGTTTCTAGTGGAAAGGAGGTGAAAGAAATGGGATGTATTGTATTGTTAGCTTCACATAAGTCACATTTCTAGACAGCTAGCTGCTGCTGTCCTGCTTTTCACGTCATGGGACGGCTCCATGAAAATGTTCACAAAAGGTGTTTTATAAAGCTGTACAGGACAACAGCTTACAAGCTAATTACATTTTAGCTCACAAATGGCTAATCGTTGGTCATAACTGCAGCAAAAATCACAAACCAGATGATCAGAATGTTTTTGTCAGCTTGCCTGTCCCTGCTCCTTCCTGTCTCCTCCTCCTCATTAGTCTCATCCCTTTAACCTGTGCCCAGTGGTTTCCCTTTCCATCCATCTCACTGCTCACGGCTGCAGTCTGTGTGTGCCCGGGGGGGATACATATGTATAGCTATTTTGTTTCTGAGTTAGACTCAGGTTTACAACGCCCTCAACCTACAGTGTTTTGTGGCTACGCTGCCGTATCCCATGAATTTATTAAGGAACTTTTCTTCCTTCATTCTGACGTTGTACAGTGCCATCATGTGGTGCTATATGGAAAAGGATGCTTCGGTTTACAGTTGTTAGTTGTACGGCATACATTGCTATTTTCACTTTCCAAAAAGGCAATATTTCAAATCGCCATCTCATTTTTTTCTCTTGTGCACCCCCTAGTGGAAGTTCGCACACCAGCAGGGTGCACGCACCACACTTTGGTAATTCCTACTTTAAGAAGATCTTTAAAGAAACACACAGGAAAAACAAGAGAGAGAGAACACAACAGAGGGCAGCATTGCTGCAGATAACACAATATTAACACAGTTAACGCTGTACACTTGTAGTAGCCGACACAGTTAACGCTGTACACTTGTAGTAAGTAGCCTTATAAGAATAACAGGAGATTACATTTGTAGTACTGGTTACTGTACAAGTACTGGTTAACTGAACCAGTAATATATAAAAAAACAGCTTATTGTATGTAAATGCTAACCTAACAACACAAATCCATCAAACCTTTTATATTTAGATATAATAAATATATATTATATTTATATGAATTGATTTATGTATTTATATTTATATGATTAGACACTGTTTATCTGACTGATTGTCTTCTCTTATTAACAAACAATAAAAGACTTATCACATTTTCAGAGTAAAATAATCCTTGTCTATGTCATCTCTGAAGCCTGCAGTAGTCAGTGTTAGAACTTTTATCTTTGTATTCAATTTCAATCTCCGTCAGTTACATTAGCATCGCGCCGACATGCACTGAACATGTCCAGCGACAGAAATCTGACTGTTTGCTAAACAAGTTGATATATTAAAGACTTTGGCCGAGGCCATGGAAGAATGCCACAGTGTAAACAGAAGAAACGTTGCGAGCACATCTCCAAGCTGCCTTCGCCATCAGGAGCTACGTGAACGCAGATGTTCTTCCGTCTTTTCATGGTGATTATTTCAGCCCCAGGATGAACCTTTCACTCAAAGATATGGTAATCAGCTTTCCATGTTCCCTCAACTTGTATGAATGCTGTAGTCTTTGTAAAATACTCACTGTGTACATCACTGTGTATTTTACGAATACCTTTGTTTTTTTTACTTCCTGGTTGTGTTTCGTTTCTCTCTGTTGTGTCTCTATAGTTTTAGACATGGACTTTATCTCCCTAAATCTCTTCCCAGATAATCAATATTTACATTTTAATCGTTTCAAACTCTCCGGTGAAGAAAATAAACAACTCCTTCAAGATACATTTCTCGTGTATTTGGCCTTTTCCTGGAGAAGATTGTGTTTAAGTTTGCGTCTTTGACATTAGCCTGTACAAATGCTCCTCATACAGGAAACAAGAGTATATATAAAATGTATGACAAATGGAGAGTAGGGTGGACCACCCAGAGACTTCAAAAAGAACTAGGAGAAACTTCTGGCTTCAGATCTTCACTTGCACTTGAATTGTTCTAGAAAGCAAAAAAAAAAAAAAACCTGGCTGAGAACCAACGAAATGGTTTTCCGACAGTGGCTGCTTCAGAGAAGAAGACGGCAACAGAGTCAGAAACTTCTTCCTCTCCTTACATCTCTATATTTCTTATGACTTCTCCCAACATTATATTTACCATCAACACTATCCTTCTGCCCCGGAAATGGACAAACACTTTAATTGTTAATCCTTCGAGAACATATTTTAGCACTGTTGAAATTGAAATGTTTGACACATTTAAATACATTAGCACAATGAAAACCACTGTCTGTTCAATACTGTGTCCCCTCTACTTATTGTTGCTCTAATGCAGTGATTCCCAACCACTGTGCCGTGGCAATTCCTGGCAGTATATCAATTGTCATCAACTAAACAGGCTGAGATTTTAGTCAATTAGGCCATTTAAACTAGAGATTCACAAAGTGAGGTGCGAGCTGCCACTAGGGAGTGCATGAGACCAAATAAATGTGATTGCTCTTTTTGAGTATTTAGGATGTGAAGTAATGACTAGGTACACCAACTCTATGACATGTCCACCTGCTGCTGTTTGATCTCATTTAGTTTTTCATTAAACCACAGCTACAGTGTGACTTATCACATAAATTGTATTTTTTTTTTTGACTCACTGATGTCTTTGACAATCATAATTATTGAGGAAATGTTTTTTTGATTTTTCTGCACCAACTAAGTTTCCTGAAAACATGACTACGTCGCCACCTCCTGACCCATCGGAGCCTCAACTAAGTTTCCTGAAAACATGACTACATCGCCACCTCCTGACTACATCACTGTGTATTTTACGAATACCTTTGTTTTTTTTACTTCCTGGTTGTGTTTCGTTTCTCTCTGTTGTGTCTCTATAGTTTTAGACATGGACTTTATCTCCCTAAATCTCTTCCCAGATAATCAATATTTACATTTTAATCGTTTCAAACTCTCCGGTGAAGAAAATAAACAACTCCTTCAAGATACATTTCTCGTGTATTTGGCCTTTTCCTGGAGAAGATTGTGTTTAAGTTTGCGTCTTTGACATTAGCCTGTACAAATGCTCCTCATACAGGAAACAAGAGTATATATAAAATGTATGACAAATGGAGAGTAGGGTGGACCACCCAGAGACTTCAAAAAGAACTAGGAGAAACTTCTGGCTTCAGATCTTCACTTGCACTTGAATTGTTCTAGAAAGCAAAAAAAAAAAAAAACCTGGCTGAGAACCAACGAAATGGTTTTCCGACAGTGGCTGCTTCAGAGAAGAAGACGGCAACAGAGTCAGAAACTTCTTCCTCTCCTTACATCTCTATATTTCTTATGACTTCTCCCAACATTATATTTACCATCAACACTATCCTTCTGCCCCGGAAATGGACAAACACTTTAATTGTTAATCCTTCGAGAACATATTTTAGCACTGTTGAAATTGAAATGTTTGACACATTTAAATACATTAGCACAATGAAAACCACTGTCTGTTCAATACTGTGTCCCCTCTACTTATTGTTGCTCTAATGCAGTGATTCCCAACCACTGTGCCGTGGCAATTCCTGGCAGTATATCAATTGTCATCAACTAAACAGGCTGAGATTTTAGTCAATTAGGCCATTTAAACTAGAGATTCACAAGTGAGGTGCGAGCTGCCACTAGGGAGTGCATGAGACCAAATAAATGTGATTGCTATTTTTGAGTATTTAGGATGTGAAGTAATGACTAGGTACACCAACTCTATGACATGTCCACCTGCTGCTGTTTGATCTCATTTAGTTTTTCATTAAACCACAGCTACAGTGTGACTTATCACATAAATTGTATTTTTTTTTTTGACTCACTGATGTCTTTGACAATCATAATTATTGAGGAAATGTTTTTTTGATTTTTCTGCACCAACTAAGTTTCCTGAAAACATGACTACGTCGCCACCTCCTGACCCATCGGAGCCTCCAACCTCCGCAGAGTGGAAGCTGGTCTACTCCGTGGTTCCTCCCTACATCTTCATCTTATGCCTGGTTGGCCTCCTCTGTAACAGCGTCGTCCTGCTGGTGTTCATGGCCCACAGGGATCGACTGACGGTGGCGGAGACCTATCTGACCAACCTGGCTCTGGCCGACTTTATTCTCCTGTGTGGGCTGCCCTTCTGGGCCATGAACATCCTCAATGACTTCAACTGGCCCTACGGGGACGCTTTATGCAAACTGGTCAACTCCCTCATTATCATCAACTTCTACACCAGCATTTACAGCATAGTCATGATAAGTGTGGATCGATACCTAGCCCTGGTGAAGACCATGAAGGCCAGGTGGCTGAGGCGGACACTGTACGCCAAGATCGCCTGCCTCGTCCTGTGGATGTTCGGACTTCTGCTGAGTCTGCCGACCATGCTTCACAGAAAAGTTCAATTCATGCAAGAGTACCAGACCATGTCGTGCATCCTGGATTACTCTGAAGATGTCTCCTGGAAGCTGGTCAATCAAATCCTCATGAACCTGGTGGGTTTCGTGCTGCCCCTGCTGGTCATGGTTTTCAGCAGTGTGAACATAATTATAGTCTTAAACCAGCGGAGGAAGACCATGGGGTTCCGTGACGGCGACGACAAAAAGGCCACAGTGCTGGTTTATGCTGTGACCGTGCTGTTCTTACTCTGCTGGGGTCCTTTCCAGGTCTTCACCTTCCTGGACACACTGGTTGACCTTGAGGTTCTGGAGGAGGACGTGTGGTTCCACAGTCTGGACATAGGAGGTCAGGTTTCAGTGTACCTGTCCTTTCTCAACAGCGCCCTGAACCCACTGCTGTACGTCTTCTCTGGACAGTACTTCAGGAGGAAAGCGAGATCCATCTACAGGAGGAAAGGACACCGTCGCAGGGGGTCAGACATGACCATCTATCAGCGGTCGGTGGTCTCCACCTACATGGTCAGAACTGATCAGATTAAACCTGTAGTCCTTTTTAAAGCCAAAGATCAGATGTGAGTCCAACTTGTGATATCTTGACCGCTGCTGATGACTCAGCGGTGATGTCATCATGATGTGGTCAAACGGAGCTGTGTGTAAATGTATGCTGTTTTCAGGAAAGTATGACGAGAAACAGGAGATCGCAGATATAGTACAGTACGGCTGGGAAATGACTCAAACACATTACTAACCACTTAGCCAATTTTTTCAAATTTTGTGCAATATGAAGTTCCATCTCTTTATCCTCATTTTACAAACCTCATTATCTGAATAGCACCAAACTGTACTCTGGTTTTACTTCTGAACTGTGTTTTTTTAAAGAAAATGTTACTTCTTACAGACATTTTAATTAGTTGACATTTTGTGCATCCTTTGGCTGGGTTTGCGACGTATATATTAAAATATATAATTTCACGTTTTGGTATTTTCACACTGACAGCCGCTAGAGGGCACTCACAGTTTGTGTACCAGTATCCGCTACTCCAATATGTCACACTTTTTTTCATCCTCTGGCTGGTGCGACTTATAGTCCAGAAAATACAGTTGTCTTTTGACAGAATTGTAACTTAATTTTAATTCTAATTTAATTTTAGTTTAACATAGAAGTATCAAATTATTTAAGTCAACTAAATTTAAATTAGATTAGGCTAAAATTAATTGTGAAATATTGTCATCTGTTTATAAAATAATGTTTTTTGATACTAATGAGAATATTGTTTTTTGTTTTTTAGCTAAAATTAATTGTGAAATATTGTCATGTTTTTAAATATATAAACTCTGTTTATAAAATAATGTTTTGTTTTTTATGATACTGATGAGTGTTGTTTTTTTTTCAATTTATTCAGCATATATAATATTATTTTATAACAAATAATAACGTTTACAATGACATACATAGATGTATTAAATGTTGTCAATTTACTTCAAGGCTCGGCCATATTCAGTCAACACTACGTTATAGGCATGTGAATCACAAGTTCAAGACTCTGATATCTACCTCCAGCAGTAGTCCAGCTCTGACAAAGACTGGAATTTTAAACACTGCAGACGTAAATCCAACTGTTGGCTAATCCCACATTTTTTCCTGCCTGACTCCTGCACTCTGAAGTGAACCTTCATGGTGATCCAGGCCAGACTTTCTTCTATGACTCAGACTGAAACACTAATCAATCTTTTTTTGCCGACTAAAACCAAGATTTTGTCTAGAACTTGGCGGACTTTACTACAGTAGATTTATCAAATTATACCCACCGGTCAGGCAGTAATAATAATAATAATAATAATAGCTTGCATTTATACAGTGCCTTTCATAATAGCTAAGGTTCGTTACATGAACACGAGCAGCGCAGTACAGCAAAGTTCATGGATTAAAAGGAACAAATATTATTATAAAATTTCCGTTGTCTTGAGTGATTTTTCAGTGTTAACTGGTATCTTTGTTAAAAACGATCAAACACAACTACAATCATTTAGAGACCTGGGGACTTAGATAGAAAAGATACACCCGAACATAATATGTTTTAGTGCTTCATATGTATGTGTTGCTCTTTCTTAGGGGTAAAAATGATTAAATGTACGGAATGTAAGTGGAAAAACTAGGTCTTCTTTTATTTGTATTAGCATAACCAATATATTGTTTTTTGTTTTTGTTTTTGGGGGGGTTTTTTTGCGTCCAAGGTTTGTACTTCCTGATTTGTAATGACCACAGATGACCACAAAGGGGTGCTGCAAGATTTCTCTTCCAGTTACATATAAATGAGACCGTGGAAGAAAGGTCTCTAGTGTTGACGGTCAATTTTTTTTCATAGATTTTTCTCGACTTTAATAATTCTTTTCTATCCACAGAGCACTTCTGTTTGTATCTGTTTTTTGTTTTGTTTTTTTCGGGTTTTTTGTTTTTGTTTGTTTTGTTGCTCAGAGTTATGGTGAACAAAACAGGTACGGGAACCATGACAGGTTCTGTTATTCACTGTTTATTCAGAAAGGGTTTAAAACACGATATCAGGAACAGTTAAAGGGCAGGGAAATTTTGGTGGAGGAAATGACAAAGCAGCCGTAAAAGAGGCCGAAATTAATTATCTACAGACCGCGTCTGATGATTTTGGAGGAACGTAAATTTGAACAAGAGTTTATTTGAAAGTGTCGTCGGCTGAGAGGTGAAAACAGCGGGAAAACAAACTCTAGATGTCACTACAATGAGTGGCTGAGGCAGCGGCGTCTGTGGGTAAGTGGGCAGCAAACGTATCAACAAGCAATTGTGGTTTGAATCCCACTGCATGCCTGTTTGAACCAGAAAGAAATGTTGAACCACAGGTTTACCATCCAACTCCACCCATCAGTTCGTGCCAAAACCAACAGTGGATAAAAGTGGAGCACAAAGAGAGCTAGCCAGCTGGTAAAGCTAATATGTATTATTTAGTAGAAAGAAAGAAAAAAAGAATTGCTAATATGTATTATTTAGTAGAAAGAAAAAAAAAATGTATCACAGCTGTCAGTAATGAAGTGGCAGCTCAGCCAAATAATACACTTTTTAAAGGTTGGTAGTGATGTTTTTAATCATACTTTTAAAATAATAATGATTAGTTAAAAAATGTTCTTTTTTTGTTATCAATTACTAGAGATTTCCAGCGTCAGCATTTAAATTCCAGGTGAACCCACATGGGGCCACAACCCCGATGTTGAAAAGCATTGCATTAAGGTATTATCAATGGTAAACCCCATAGAGGCATAAATGTTCTACAGTGTGAACATTTGTTCAACTCTACAGTATTTGTAAATGTAATGTCTATATTTGTGTACATCAGGGGTCAACAACTGTATTTGTTGGAGGGACAGAATTTGTCTGGACGTACACCTTGAGGGCGGGACATTAAAACAAAAATCATGTAAATAAATCACATTTCTGTCTAACATTTGCTTTTTATTCAGCTGTGGACCAGCGTAGACGGCTCAGTGAGCCAGATTTGGCCCACAAACCACCAGTTTATGACCACTGGGGTACATGCTGATGTAAAACTTTGTAGCTTCTAGGTTTTTGTTCATTTTGATGCTTTTTCCATTTTTTTTAATGTTTGTTTTGTAGAAGAGTAAACAACAGTCCATCTTCATAGTCCTCTGAAGGAGAGACAGACGGAAAAATCAATAAAATAATACAGGCCTGTCGTTTCGAGGACACATGTTCAGTCACAACAACTTAATTTTTCAGTTCTGTCCGTAGGCTGCATCGTCACCATCATCATCATCTTCATCTCTGTCTATGTTGACACAACACACATGCAGACGTGCAGCCTGATATAGAAACTGTACCCAAATTAAATCTGCCTGTGGCTGTTGTTTGTTCAGTAATGGACTCAGCTGGTAATAAAAGCCTACAGTAGTGAGCTGTGACAGAGAGGTGTTGTGAGCTCTTCCTGTTTCTTTAAACCGGTTGATAAAGCCGAAGAGGACGGGGACAACGGGGACACAGAGTCGTCTCTACAGTTTTATTATCTCTATTTCTTCCATTAAATGAGGAGGCAGAGCCACATCTGAGTAAGTGAATAATATTTTTAACTTACTAGGGATTTTGTTGATTAATTAAAAAAAAAGCCAAGCTAAACTGCAACAACAACAACATTAGTCGTTTCGGGAGCTAGTACTAAAGTAAATTGTGCAAAAATCATTTTCATCAATTTCAAAGCCTAGTATTAATTTAATTTCCACCAAATAAGATCATATAATCGGATAGAAAATGATCTGTTTTGTTTCATTGAATTGACATTCAACAAACGTTTAGGTTTTTTTTGTTGTTGTTGTTTTTGTCCAACCATTAAAGTAAAACAGACCATTTTTAAAGAAAGTTTGATTATCTGTTGTTTTATTGATTTAACCTAGAGGTTCCCAAAATGGGGTGCAGGCCCCCCAAATGGGGCAGAATTGTTTCTGCAGGACATATAGGTTTTATTTTAAATGTTACATGTGATTTTATAGTTAAAATGTATTTGTTTAATAAGAAAAGCAGTTTTGTAGGAATTGTAAAACAAAATTTGTGCGTTGTGGGCGCGGGGGCCAATCATCTTGATTTTTAACTCTCGTTTGTCTCTACATAAGGTGCAAAGCCTTTACTTTGTGATGGAAAACTCCACTGCCATAGAAAACCTGTCTGTGGCCTTCAACTATTCCAGCTGTTACTCTGTCGACACCGACACCAGGAGGAGGGCTTTTCTGGTTTTCTACCTGATCGTTATCATCACCTCCATCCCGTCCAATGCCTTCTCACTCTACGTGTCCTGGCAGCACATCACACGAAACAATGAGCTGGGTGTGTATCTGTTCAACCTGGCCCTGAGCGACCTGACCTTCACTGTGGGCTTGTCTCTGTGGCTGGACCTCCTCTGGCGTGGGGTCTGGATCCACGGGGGCTACGCCTGTCTGATGTCCATCTACTTCCTCTATACTAACTTCTACACCAGCGATGTTCTGCTGTGCTGCATCTCGTTGGACCGCTACCTGGCGGTGGTGCACCCGTTCAGGTACATGTCCATGAAGAAGGTCCGCTGCGCGGCAGCGGTGAGTGTCGCCGTTTGGATTCTGGTGATCGTCTTCAACGCCAGCACCATCAGGTGGGAGGACTCCTACACTGGGGGGGAGTTTCCCGCCTGCTTTGACATCTTCATGCCATTCACTGAGTCCATGGCCCGAGCTAATATACTGCGTTTCCTGCTGGGGTTTATCCTCCCACTTCTCGTGGTGATGTTTTCCACCTGGAAGACCCGGTTAGCGGTGGGATCCAACATCGCTACAAAAAGGCAGGAACGTAAGAGGGTATCCAGGCTACTGACGGTGATTCTCCTCAGTCTGGTGTTCTGCTTCGGGCCCATCCACGTCATGATGCTTCTCCGCGTCATGTTGGATCAGTGTCTGGAAGCGAAATGGTATCTCTATCCTTACAAGATCAGCACTGCCATCTCCACCCTGAACTGCCTGGCAGACCCACTCCTCTACTGCTTCATCACCAAAACTGGACAGGCCAATTTCAACAGGGTTGTACTCTTCTTCAAGGGAAAGACAAGGAGCCCACAGAATACTGAAGTGTTTCAAATGCATAGCATCCAAATGCATACATGACCGGTCTATCACAGCATTATCAGATGTAAAATTGTAGCATGCGTTTACTTCATGTTCATATATAATGTTCACATAAATGTCTTCAGACTTCCATTTTTTTAATATATGATCTACAAAATGCAGAAAAATAACTACAGTGCTCCCTCTCTATATCGCAATTCTCCTTTCGCTCCCTCGGTACATCGCAGAGATCTTGCGAAATTTTCAATATATCAGGAAAGGTAGCAAAAAATAAACTAAAAGACATTATAAAATAATTATACATATGAAAGTTTTGGCTTTGGATTCTTGTTTTGAAATGGAGATAAGCGCATTTGCGAACGATCGCTGGTAGCCTTATTTACTTAGACGAGATCGTACACAGCATACTATTGGCTAATGCAATGCAAACTCGGTGTACTGAACTCTTGGATGAGAGGTGGGTTACTCTTCAACGTTGACCATGACCTGGATGACTGAGAATCTTCATAGACAAACTCAGTGTACTATTGGTTAATTCAGCATGCTCTTCGCAGCGCCCCCTGCAGGAACATAAATTGATGCTCTTCTTCAACTCAGGAATACAGTTGAGCCAAAACGCCCAGAGGCACTCTCTGTTTGAGCAGTGGAAAGACCAGCCTTGTGTGGAACATATTTATGTTCCCTGTGTGACGCCGTCACGTGTGAACCCATAAACGCTAAAGGTGCATTCATCACTTTTATTTTGAAAGAAGCCACGGATGATTGCGATTCTTCCGTCACGTGTTTTCCTCTGGTATTTAGGATGCGTGACACCACTAGCGTCGCAGTCGTGCCTTATCAACACTTAACAAGGCCCGAACAGGGACATGTGCTCCTCCATGTGACTCTACCTCTACCTATTCACTCCATCCACCCATTCATCCATGTCACATGATACGCTTCACCTAACACTAAATAACCTGCGTCAGCAGAACCTAGAGGCTGTAAAATGCTCATCTGAATACTCCTACCCCTCACCTTCCACCGTCCTTGGCACTAGAAGAGAAAAGACAGCCTTCGCTTGGATGTGACGTTCCAGTCAGGATCAATAGACCGTGGACTGAGAGTCTGCCCGACTGTTGGCAGAGTTCTGGAGAAGAAGGTGTCGACGAGCCTGCTGCACCTCACGGAGGGATAGAAAAAAAAAATTGAATATACTGTAATTTTTGGGTAATCAATCAAGAATCAACTGACTTATGAGAGACCTTTATGTCTCTGCTAACAGTGGAGTAGCAGAAATCTAGTGTTGCTGCACTGTATTGATTTTTTGTCTAGAATAAATACTAACAATCAACACTCTTTTATGTACAGTACATTCACCATCTGGCTCCGACCATAAACCGGTGTTTGCCGCTGTGAAATATCATAAAGTAATATTTGCTTTATCGTCGGCATATTAATACAGACTGAGATTTAGTTAATACTGTTTTGTTTAAATTATTCATTGTTATTATCTAGAGGCCATAAATACTAATAAGTACTCGGCTTTGAATATTTGCCTACAAATCTTCAGTCTGATCAGTGTGTGATATCACTACATCAGTGCCGTCTTAAATTATTTAAATTATTTAATTAAACTTAAGTTAAATTTCTATTATTAATGTATGTAAACTTTTCAAAATCAAAAATTAAATTGCTCCATGTACACATACAAAAAAGCAGATGTTTTGTTGAATCATCATGAGGTGTATGTTTAACCAATCAGAACCAGTATCAGCTGATGTTGTTGTTGTACTTTACAGCATAAATACCATATGTGTAGATTCTGTTTTTCGGTACTTTTAAAAAGTCAAAACACAAAATAAAAAGAATTGTGTGGAAAAAAAACCTGCTGTAAATAAACAACCAAAATAGGAATTCTATGGTAGATACTGTTGTGAAGCACAATGAGCTGCTTCAGGTGGCTGTGTCTGACAAATGCAAATTCATCACAAACAAATTTCTCCATCACAATTCTCCTGTGCTGGCTGTTCTGTATGTAAAGCACAATAAAAACTTTCACAATAAAACCATAAAAGCAACAAGAGGAGGCAGGAAAAAGGAACATGTTAATGGTCAGAGAGGCTGAACGAGCACACGTGGGCGGAGCACGTGATTTGAACTCACACCCATCCGTTTCCTTAACTTTGTTAGTGACCTGAATCTCTTAAAATAGACTTATAATTAATTTACTGTTACTTATACCAATAAATGTAGGTGTGTGTTTGCATGCATTCTTCATGTATGCGTGTCATTATTTGCCACTAAAGACCAAATACAGGTAAGTCCCCACACAATAAATACAAGGCCGAGTCATTTAGCAGTGGTCCATGGGGTTAGGGGGAGGAGTGTTCTCAAACTGTGGGCTGCTTTCAGGGGTATGTCATTTGACACATTTAGTTTTTAATATATATAGTATTATGGTTTTCAGTTGGATTATAATTTTTAATCTGATTAGTCTTTAATATATATAGTATTATGGTTTTCATTTGGATTATCATTTTTAATATGCAAGATAGGTGTGGATTAGTGATGATTAATGAAAAAATGTAATTATGGTTTTTATATTCCCATTTTAAATTGTTTGGTTTGAATGCACTTCCACAACTGTATTATTGTCAGTGCACGTGGCAATAAATACCACAATCGGTTCTGATATTGTTTTGGTGGACAGAAACATGTAGTTCATCCTCTATTCAGCAGACAAAGCAAGTATTGTATTTCCTTTACCTACCAACTGGCTTAAACCAGTGATCAACCACAGAAGGCACTCTTATAACCTCAGAGTTCTTAACTACAACACACATGAAAAATATATTTTTATATATTTGCAACTTTACAACATTCAGAGCCACAACATACAGCACAGCATATCCATAACAACTTGGTTAGTCAGTGGGGCCAATATTACAGTTTTCACAATTTCACAAAATCAATGTCTGGTTGTGTGTGAAATTATTACTGCACCGTTTTATGCAAACATTTACTCCACTATAACTCAGTGATTGGCTTTTAATCTTCCTGAGCTTTTCAGAATCTCTCACTTGGTCAATATAAAATATTCACACTCTCTGATTAACTCATGATTGCGCCAAAATCCATCCAATTTAAAAACTTGAGAATATAAACACTTCTTGGTGATTTCTCATGAAGAAGATAGTAGGGGGGTGAGGACGAAAAGATGGATGGAAAAAAAGGGAAGGAAAAAAATTCACTATAACCTTGGAGAAATCTCCACAAACACACGTTGTCACTGTTTCAATTACAAACAATTTACGGCCTCCCCTTTACTGATCTGTCACACTGATTAATTTCTGTTCCTGGTGCACAACACACACGTGGGAACATCGGACCACACGCACAGATGGAGACCTTGAAGGCTCCATCATCGTGGAGCCTTCTATGATGTGGTTATGTAATGTGGCATTTAATCACCCTGAAAAAGGCTTTTAGACAGTGTGTGTTTGGGGGTGTGGCGTTCCAATGAATCTGTGTCACTGATGTCATCTACTTTGTTCGTCCTTGTGACTCGTCCCGTTGGTGACTTTCCTTGGTTTAGGCCAGTGGTTCTTAACCTTGTTGGAGCTACTGAACCCCAACAGTTTCATATGCACATTCACTGAACCCTTTGGTGACGGCCAAGCGGGGGGCGTGTCATCACAAATCATATGAGTCGGGTGTGTGTCTTGTCCTCTGCCAAACCCCTCGAGTTCGATCAAACCCAAGTTAAGAACCGCTGGTTTAGGCAAAGGAAATGGTGCGCTTCAACTGATATGATTCATAATACTAATCAGTATTCAAACTGGTTTCCGCAACTGGAACAGAGTGCTTTTTTCTTTTTTAGTCAAATATTAATTATCATATTCTTCTCACTGTTTTTATCTTATGACCAGACCTCTACGAGACACAACACTGTCCCCAGGGTTAAAGCTAAAGGACAGTGTCATTAAAGAGGAACATCGTGTCCAGGCTGAATCCTTCAAAACTATAATTTTTTCCTGCTTGTGTCCTCTAAGAGAAGTTCGGACATGGTATTTCATTTTGGTCTGTGAATAATATCATGTACCTTCCAAGGGCAGTGACCATGGCAACTAATGGAAACAATTGTGAAACGTGGTCTGAGTGGTCGCGAGGACTAAAAACCTGCTACGGAAGTACTGAACCTATTTAGTCTTTCTGTCTTTTGTATCTGCTTTTCTTGTTTGTAATACTTAATTTGCTTCTGTATTTTTATGGGTATATGTCGTTAGGGTTCGGGCTATGTTTGTTTTATTGTCAGAGAAGGGGATTACTGTGGAAAATGAGAATTAGAGCTCAGTGACAGTTTTATTAGAAAATGGAGTTCCACAAGGTTACGTTTTAGGACACCTCTCTTTCAGTGGATTAAAGTGAATTGATGAATTTGCCATTTGTAACTAAGAGTAATGATAAAAGATTGACTAGTTATAATAAAAAATAACTTACTTTATTGTTTTTTCTTGTTGCTATTATTGGTCCAAAAAAATTAACCAGATTTCTAAACCAAAAAAAAAGGTTTAAAAGCAAAAAAGATTTTATTCAAAATTACTGACAATTTTAGAGCAACTTCAACTGCAAAATAATTTGGACAGAAAATGTTGATGTTACCAGTGCCAGGCATAAAATAAGAGTGAAGACCAAAAGGCTATCACAGCTGGTGCTGGGACTTGATTGCAAACTGCAAAATGCAAAAAAAAAAAGCCCATATCATGATGATTTGTCAAGTGATTTTACTACAGATTTGGTTTCAGAAAATAAATACAAGAAGACAAATTCAGTTCATATTTCACAGGTCAATGGAAAACACAACTCATGTGTTCGACTGATGTAAAAAAAAAAGAAATTGAAAAAAAAAACAAGAGATCAAAATCAATAGCATCACAGTCATTAATCAAAGTCTTCTGAGCAATTACATCATGTAAATATATGGTACAAACTTTGAAAAAAAAGGCTCAAAATGAAGATCAGGGACAATCTCGTGGCCTTAGGTGATTATCTGTGTCGTTACCTGTAGAATAAGACGAGTTCAAAGTTTATTACTGATGATCGACTGCTAATAGAGCCATGCACGAGTAGGTGAAAGAGGATGAAGGCTTTACTGTGTAGTATATCAGACCTTATGGCTACTATTTCAAAGTCACATACCATTAAGGAATAACTTGTACATTTCATCTGGGTAAATGCTTGTGTTGTCTATTGATCCAGCAGCAAACGAACAACCCTGCTCACTCTGCATTTGATTCCCGCCGAAGTCCCTCAGAGCTTGGGAATAAATATAGCTCTGACAGTATGAGATGACTGAGAGGAGATCGATAGTGTTCCTCAAGACGAGCGACCTGAGTCTCTCTCTCTCTCTCGCTCTCTCTCTCTCCCACACTGTTAAAAAGTGAGATACAGCCTGAAAACCAAATGTCGAAGCCCCTAACTGTCTGATAAGATCTATGAAGGCTGAAAGTCAAGTCGATGTGTTTCCAAGGTCTTACAACAACTAGCCCATTGAACAGTTAGTATGCAAATGAGGTATTTAAAGTGTCTTTTCAGAGTTTATTCTATTTTTTATTTTTTTTGGCAACACATGTCTATGGCACGCTGGCTGAAATTCCTGGGAGCATCTCCAATCCAATCACTGGGAAACAGAAAGGCACATTTCTTGACATCTGAAATGACAGTGCATTCTCTGCCAGTTTGTCTCTGCACGTCCTGATTATGGCTGAAGCTCTTTCCGGTCCATTGCCAGATTATTTTCCCTACCCTGAGGTGATAGGAAGCCATTCAGCTTGGAGCGGTCCGTGACGTACTGGGACAGGTTTGTCAGGCTGATGTTCCCCTCTTTCCTCTCCTGGTTTTCATCCCGTGGCTCCCCATCGTCGTCGTCCCCTTCTTCCGTCCTCTCCTCACCCAGCATGGCGCTGCCGGTGTTAACGCCCACACTCGCCCGCCGCGCATCTTCAGGAATGTTCCTCCGAACCTCTCTGTTCTTGTTCCTCCTGCCCAGTTTGGTGAGGGATCCAAAGCGTGGGTTAAAGAGATTCTCCTCCGAGGAGGATGCAGTCTGTTGTGCCTGGTCGTTCCCGTGATGGTCGTAGGCCTCACAGGCTCCCTTCAGCCTCAGGTTGTTCAACTTGGTGTCAATGCTCTCCTGGGATGAGGTCTTGAAGCGACCAGTGTCCAGGCTAGCGAAGATGGCTCGTTTCTCCGGAGACAGCATGTCAAGGGAGTGAGCTCGCTGATCCAGGCCAATCTGGCGGCGCTCCATGCTGCGGATGGTAGCAGCCCGCTGGAGCTTGTCGTGGATCTCGACGCTCAGGCGCCGTCGCGTCTCACGGAATTCGGCTCGGACATTTGCTTTCCATTCAGCTGCGTGAGCTTTAAACTCCCCGACCTGTCAAAACAAAATCCCCTTTCAGTTCATTTCCAATTCCAATTTACTGTATTAGCTAATGTGCTAATTTAGAGGTATAAGAGCTATGTTTTTGTTGTTGTATTTTTTTGTACTTTTGTGGCAAATTTTAGTATCCTGGTTTCTTAGCAAACTTTTAGTTTGGTTTCTATTTACTTGTGGTTAGTGTAAGCAAATTAAAACAAACTTTTTTTAACAAATGTTAACACAGTTCTAGATATTCTGCTAATGTTTAGACACTGGCTAGGGTCTAGTTATTTTTGCTCTATCTTTGAGTGAGTGTATTGACACAGTGGATAATTTAACAGCCTTTTTTTAACCAGCCTCTTTGACCTTCTTTGGCTAGTTTTGGTATTATATAACAGCCTCAAATGACACTGGAAGGACATTTAGCTATTTGCTTTGTCCTTACTCCTTCTTTCTTACCCCGATAGATCAATATGTCACTGTCTGCCCTCTCTGGACTCTGTAAAACCACTACAGTCTCCTCACTTTGAACAATAGCTGCCTGGTAATTACAGCAATTGATGTGAAGAACAGGAAAGCAGCTGACTGATCTTTTTATACATTTGTCTCTTCTAATGTAATACTGAGAGGTGTAATTAAATGAACCCCACCTCCTCTTTGGTCTTTTTCGACAGCACTCGAAGCCAGTCTCCGATCATGCTGAGGACAGCCGCAAAGTACGCCAAGCCCACCAGGATCCAGAACCAGACCAGGGGCTTGTACCAAGGCATGTATTCAATCCTACGGTTTCCACCTGGACAAAAGTGACCAACGTTATTTATTACCAACAATTTTAAACTTTGTTTTTATTTGATTTAATGCTGTGAAAAAAAAGGCGTTACCTGCCACGTAGTCTCCTATTCCCACCGTGGTGAGAGTGATCACCACGAAGTAGAAGGCGTCCAGCGTGGTCCAGCCCTCGATGTACTGAAAGAAGAACGCTGGGATGGCAACGAAGACGATGCAGCCGGCCAGGATGAACAGGATGGTGGAGGTCACTCTGATCTTAGTCTGACTAATCTGTTTGTGTTTTTGCTGTTAAAAAAAGAAACACGGACAAGCTGTTAGGTTTAAATCAAAATGAAAAAAATAAATAAGTAAAATCCGGAATTCATGCAATTTACCCTGAAAATCTTTTCCACTTTCAGGATGCTTTTGACAAAGATGGTCCCGAGCTGGTCTCCGATTCCTGCCAGCAAGAATCCAAAGAGAGGAATGCCAAATATGGCATAAAGAATGCAAAAGATCTTCCCTCCTTCCGTGCTGGGAGCTATGTTTCCATAACCTGTTGAATTAATGACAACACAGAGAGGGAGAAAAAAAACAGATGGAAATTAGTTAGGGGGGAAAATAATACACAAAGGAAAGAAAAGTGAAGTTAAACGGGGATGACGAGATGAGGGGATGTGTGGAGAGGACAAGATGAGAATCAGGCGACAGCACAGACTTTCTTATGCAACACAATCCATCGAACTGTTTATGGAACAGCGCTTACGTCTCGGAGCAGACGCTCTGAGGTAAATAACCTCCTACAGAGACAATAATTAGCTTCCCCTGAGAGAAAATTGCATTAATTACAGTCCAACAGTGGCAGCACCATACAATAAAAATACCCAGGGGACAGAGTATACACTGAATGATTGAATTCCATAGTGTTGCCTTTATTATGAGATACATATTGGGAGTTAGCTGAGGTCAGGTTAGAACGTTGAGGGCAAAAATACGGCCCACGGGCCTGACCGCGTCTACTGATAGCTGAATTTTGGTCCCATTGATTACACTAGTGGAATCTGTAAATTTATTTTATTGTTGATTACACTAGTGGAATCTGTAAATTAATTTAATTTTTTTTACTTATTATCTTTACTTAATGTCTTTAATGATGAAACATACATTTTAAAGTTGTTTTTATCAGGTGTTTTAAAACAAGTTTTAAAATTGTTTAAAATATTTCACACAATTAATTGGTACATTGTCTAACATGGTGAGTCATTATTCTGACTATTATTAGAAAAAAACTATTATGTTGCCTTAAGATTTTTTTTCCTGTATTATCAACAGTCAACAATTAATATTTCACACAATTATTTGGTAAATTGTCATTATTCTGACTATTATTAGAAAACAACTATTATGTTGCCTTAAGTTTTTTTTTCCCATATCTGAATGTGTCTGAAAGTGTGACATTGACATTCCTGGGTTAGAATGTCTGTCCATATTAAGTGATTTTTTAAAATATAAAATACAAAATAAACAGAGTCATGAATAGACAAAAAAATTTACCAAAATAATAGGCATGGATGGATGGATGGATGGATGGATGGATGGATGGATGGATGGATAATGAACATGTCAATTTTAGAACTGACTTATTTCAGTTTGCTTTTAATGTATTTAAACCGGAGCAGCCTGTTGAGCACAGTGTCCTGTCACACATGACTTTTCTTATGACAACTAAGACGTGGAAATATTACATAATATCTTTCTTCATTATGTTGGTAGTAAAAATCACAAAGGAAGTGAATGTTCGGAAACACATGAGCTAACATCATGGTTAATGGAATCTCTGTTCTGTGTCACAACAACAGGGCAATAGCACTGGTTTTTCCATTAATGTTAATGGGACTGTGCGGCTAATAGAAGAAATGTTCACTGCAGCAGCTTTATTGTTGATAATGTGGTTCATGAGTGAAACGATATCTGGTTATTAAAAGATCCAGACTGGTCTCTCACAGTAAACTGGACTGAAGAGAGAAAGAAAAAAAATAATAATGAAAAGTTTGAGGGGTTTTTTTTAAAGGCTTAAATGTTTTTATTTAAATGTATATTATTTATTTAAATGATTGCAAATGTACCTGCCTAAAAAGGTTCTTGGTGTTTTGTTAAATATTGTTGGTCATAAATGTGCATTTCATATGTAATTTGTGGCCTTTAATTACTATTTGGTCTATTATTAGAGGGATGTCATAATATATAAAGGATTAATTCAAATAATTTCCTCCTCAAAAAAATGTCAGTACTCTCCAAATAGCTCATAAACAGTGGTGGTGTTTTTCCTATGAGCACCTCCTCTGTGTTGACCTTATCATATCATCTCCCACTAGGTCTGAGGTTTGCATCATTTAACAGCATCCCAGGAGATGGAGAAGGATTTGGTTGAACCCGCACGAGGACAAGGAAACGCTGAAAACATTTACACCGCTCCGCCACTGGGGGAGGCATTGGAAAAGAACAAACACATTTGAATAATAACCACTGTGAGACTAAAACGTCTTTCCTCTTACCTATGGTTGTGATGACAGTCCCAGCGAAGAAGAAGGCGCTGCCCATGTCCCAGTAACTGGAATTGTAGGACGTGTCTCCGATAGGACTCACTCCTGCGCTCACGGCGTCCACAGCGTGCTGGAAAATCAACAATTAGATTATGAAGAGGATTATATTTCACCGCGGCGTAATCTGATTATTGTAACTTTGTAAATAGAAACTGAAACCATGTGTGAGGACGCCATAACAGAGGATCTTTTCCTAAACAGGACGTGGATTTGACGACTGACGGTAGAGTCCTTATGTCACAGAGGGAGTGAGCGCATAAACAGCAACACCACTCTGCTGTTGTTGTTTATGTTCTTCCACACACACACACACACGTGTCCCTGATTGTGTAATGCAGGTGCGGTGACTGTGGGTAAACATCCATTAGCCCTGTGTGTTTATCTCAGGTTTAACCTGCAAGGTCATAAGAAATTGGCTGAGGAGTTCCCGTAATACGAGGAGGGAGAGGCAGGAAAGATGGATGGAGGATTTCATCAGTCCCACAGCCAGGTCATAGAGCCACAACAAGACAGGAAGTAGAATTACTACTGCAGGGTTTAATGGTACTATATGATAGGAGTCTGAAGATATCAGTCTTATTTTCGGTCCACACAATGGATCGTCTGCCTCCATTCCACCATTTTTTTTTATACATTTGTTTGGAGGACTCCATCATATTCAATCAGTGAGTTCAATGTGTTCATTACTTGAGATCCAATAATGTAGATCTTCCCATAACAAGTCTGTGTTTAAAACACATTTTTCATTTTTTGTTAAAAGCCTTTTTACACTGACTTTTTCCAATTTGTTCCAATAATTTCTAATTCTTTGTAACAACACTAAAGAGATCTCTGTTGTTACTTCTATTTTTCTTGTCTAAATATAGCAGTTTTGGTGGAGGAACTTAGGAAATTCAAACTGTTACATTTCTGTATGGCTTAAGTCTTGTTGACAGAATTTTTTTTGAGGCTGCATCTTCATCTTATTCCTTCACTGCAACACCCACATAATTCTTCCATGCTGGCAGTAAACAGGTTCAAGCAGATCCCAGAAATAAAATATGTATCAGCTGCTGACAAACAGAACCAGAGCTACAGAACATTTCTGCCTCTTATCACCAATGAATCTAAATGGCAGCTGTTGATCACTGCAGTTCATTTACACAGTAAACAGTCCAGGCTGTCTCACAGTGCCAAAGCCATATTTATATCATAAACCCCCCAATAACCTAATTCTGGAGTGGGGAGGCTATAAATAGCCTCACAATGTATCTGAATACTGTATGAGGCGGTATGAGCTATTCTCGTCTTTCGTCTTTTTCGCAGCCAAGTTCACGCTGCAATGGAGCTGAAGAAAATCTTTTTTCACACATGCTCTTGTGAAAATTGAAAAAAAAAAATCAGATTTAGTGCTGCACAGCATTTTGAAATAAGGAGGAACGGTGAGGGTTTTCATTTGTTATATTTTGGTTGAAAATCACACATTTGCGTTGGAATCCTAGTTAAACAGGGTTTCTTTTCTTGCTGCGTGATCAATAAAGACGCAGATCTTCATCCTCTCAGTGTGTCCTTCTACCCCACAGCAGGTGGAGGCAATGATCCAACCAGCATGGAGCCTCGCTCTCTGTTTTTTTTTTCCTGTGGTTGAGTGCCAAACACTGCCTGCTGCAGCACTCAGTCCATTTCTGCAGCTTCTCTGTGACCGTCAGTTTGAATGAGACGCATGTGTGTGTGTGTGTGTGTGTGTGTGTGGGCTGCAGGTGTGTGTGGTTGACTGATTGATGTGTGGTTCTTTGTTTTAACACTTCAGCGTCACAGTCACTTCAAAGCAGCGGCCGATTCTTTGAAAGTCAACATTTGGATAAGGCCGCAGTGTACGTACGAGTGCACACTACAATAAGAATTACGGTGACGTGATGTGACCATGACCGTACAATCTTTATATTATCTTTTTGTTTAAAAAAAAGACACAACAACAATTGAAGAAATAATATGTATGAAGAGGGAAACTTGAGTGGAGCGACAGCCGAATTAGAGGAAGGATTTGTTGTGCTGCAAGAAATTCTGAGATATTCATATACCGGTGGTAAGCAATTTTTTTTTTTTGTCATTGTTTTAGCTAATTTTCATAACTTGTGGTTATATAGTTTAGTGGTTATCAGATCTGCCTTACACGCAAATGGTCATAGGTTTGATCGCCAGAGGAACCACATACTCAATGGCAACACCTGTGTGACAATCTCTGAGATGTAACCACGTACTCAGTGGCGCCTCCCATGGCATATTTTATATATATTTTTAAAAATACAAATATTACGTTTGATATTAAGTTGCTTCTGTAGACATGTGTCTATGTAAACACACAGTGTTAGACTTTGTCAACCTCTGATGTTGATGATGTCACTATAGTTACAGGAAGTTAGAGATCCAGGGTCTGCTTCCTGTCATGTCCATATTTTCTCTCAGACCCAGCGGTGACGGTACATTTGGTAAAGTTGCATGAATGTTCAGCTCTTTAACTGCTATAAATAAATCTTTTGAATACATAAATGGTAATGTGCGGTCGGTTGTGTGTCTTGACGCACTTTTACAGCAGGTAGCTCAGTAGGAATGAAAATTTTATTTATGGATAAGTGACTCATGGATAGATGATGCCTGACTGCTGTCAATAAAAGACTGGCTTCACATTGTGCCACCAGAGTGAGTCACCCCGACAGACCAATTAGCACTGCTGGATTTGTGGGTGCACTGTGGCAGGTCGACGCAGACCCTAAGCATGAACCCGAGGAGGTGTATGGACACACACTATGATGTGGAGCAAAACAAAACAAAAACAAAAAAACAGTTTTGTCTGCGGTTGTACTTGTGCTCCATGGGGTCGTTACATTTCTGTGAACTCATCAACATAACCACAGTTTGACGACAGTGGTTCTAATTGATGGACCAATAAAAACACTGCTGTAAAACACATGATTTATACAACACAAGGTTTAAACACGAGCCAATTTCTAGACTAATTACTATATATGTGTGTGTGTGTGTGATATATGGCTTAAAGTATTAGGCTAAGATTTAGCTGTTTTTTGCTAACAGAAGTTTTTGCTTTTCACTGTGTTTTAATTGGTTTCATTACAAAGCTGACCTAATAATCTAGTTTAAACATTCAAATATGAATTTAAAAAGTGCTAGTAAAAATACTTATTTTTGTAATTTTTTTCATTTTCCTCATAAACCTTTTTTCTGGATTTGTGGCTAGCTAAGCAGTCCGTTAGTTAATTTGTAGTTATGTTCTGTCAAACTGTACAACTAGCTAATTAGTTTGGCTTTTTCAAAGACTTTGCTTATTTTATCATTTTTTTGCTGCTTCTGTGTGTGATTCTTAGTCATTTTCTTTACTGTTCGCTTATTCTCTACCTTTTGGACTTGTCACATTCTTTAGTTCTTGGGCAGTGGTGTCTTAGTGGTTAAGGAAGGGTACTTGGGTCTGGAAGGTTGCAGGTTCGAATCCATCAGCTGCCAAGTTACTACTGAGGTGCTCTGAGCATGGCACCGTCCCCAAGCACTGCTCCCCAAAAAGCTGCCCACTGTTCACTTTCCTTCTTAGTTAGTCAACAAACATAGGCTTTTTCTTTAACGTCACACATTATTCAAAAGACACAGTAAAGTATGGTCTTTGAAAGCTGGACTGTTTTTCTTTTACACGTTCGATGTTTTTTTAATGTCATCAAGTGCTGCCGTCATTGAATGTTAAAAGCTAACTCATATATTTCAAGGTTCTGACCATGGATTGCTGAAATAAATTGTGCAAGTGTGTTATGGCATCTTTTGTGGCTCTCGCTCTATCTGTCGACTTCTCCTTCCATCAAATATACACAGAGAAACACACACACAGAAACACACACACATGCTTTTAAAGGTTGTCATTTTTCTGTGAACTCCTCCACTAAACTGTTTGACATCTGTGAGTCACACTGCCGTGTCCCGGTGGTGGGCTGGCGTCTGATTGACAGGCCTGACACAGCATGAAGAGACCCTTCACTGAACTCGTTACCAGATCCCAGACAGACTCCATGACGAAGCACTGCAGCAGGTTCTGCAGGGCTTTTCTTGTGCTGCCAGGAACAAAGTGTTGCTTAAATCTGAACGCAGGGTTCAGTCGATCCGTGTTTGAGTTTGAACAGACTGTTAAACAGGTGTACAGTCGCTGTAGGAGAACTACTTCTTTGGTTTAGAGAAATATAGTAGCTGTTAGCAAGTTAGCTTGGTGCAATGATTACTCACAAAATTATATACGGGACTGGATTACTGAGCAAACCTGTTAGCAGAGTGAAAAAAATTAGCTGTTTTTCCTGTCCCTTTGTTTACCGTATTTAACACAAATGTAGAACAGAGGCTTATTTTTCAACATGACTGGACATTTTCAGCCATCTTGAATGACTCTCAACTTCTTAGTTTAGGTTTAGCCAAAACAAAATGATTACTGTGTTTTGAAGCTTCTGCTACTTTTGGGTACAAGACTGAAACAGGACTTTAGCTCTAGCTGCAATAGCTGTAGCTAACTGCTGCTAACGCTTGTCAATAAGCTGTTGTATCTTTACCCTCCAATTTGGTTTTTCGCAGGCTGTGTGTTTTTACTGGGTTATTTTTTTTATTATTATGACGGTGTTCTCGGAGGAATTATGGCAAAACAGTTTGTTATTAAATTGTACCAATAATGCCAGTACAAGCTGCCGCTGCTCCAAAGACCAAAATGGCCAGTAAGAGACCAATGCTACATATTTAGCCAATTGAATTGATAACAGTGCCACTTGGAGAAATTGAATTAGTACTCATTTAAGTGTTTTTCTTTAAACTCTACAGACCCACACGGTGAGTCACACGGCCGTGTCCCAGCGGAGAACTGTTGTCTGAGTGACAGGCTTGACGCAGCACAAACAGAACCTTAAACAGAGCATGGTAAAATAACAGACAGACTCTTGGAGGAAGAACTGCCACATGTCCTGAAGGCCTTTTCTACTGTTAGTTGAAGAGAACTACCACCGAAGAACTGCCACATGTCCTGAAGGCCTGTTAGCTGAAGAGAACTACCACTATGGAATGCAGACATGACATGTTGTACTATCTTTGCCACAGAAATATGTGAAGGATTATCATCATTTGGTAAAATGCACGTCTGCCAACAGGACAGTCCAAACTGCAATCGTTTTTTTGTTTGTTTGTTTTTTTTTAAGCAACTGCCAACAAGCTTTTACAAATGCAAAATCAAACTTGACTGTCTGGGGAGATGACCTCTGGTCTGTTTGAAGTGGACCAAAATGGTCTGGTGTGAAAGCGCACTAATAGAGGTCTGATTCGCTCTAGAGAAAGCAAGGCAGGCTGTTTATTTATGACATTCAGTTTACTGGCTTTTACAGATCCTTATCTTTTTTTTTGATTTTGCTGTTAAATATTATGTCATGTATCTAAATCTAGCCATCTGTCTAGTTGAAAGCTTCGTCTGTGACTAGATCACTGCTACATTGGTGCTTCAGGCGTCTTCGACTGCTGCTCCGCGCAGACAATAATTGATTTCCTCCGGAGCAGAAAAAAATACAACATTGATGGTTTTTATTTCTAGACATTTCCTTTGGAAATGCTGTCATTGATTTTTCCTTTCCTTTTTACAAACTTGTTTTGTGTTTTTGAGGCCCAGCGGCGATGCATCGCAAGGTGACAGGGAAAAACAAAAGATCCTTCTTTGCAACAGACTAAACGGCATGATAGGGAGACAGGCGTCCATGTTAACATGAACTGGAGCCATTCTAGCAGAGAGTTATATTATATACATTTTTTATTATATATTATAATAAAAGCAATGTTTTGTAAAATTTTGAAAAAAAACCAGAAGCACTTTTTTCAAAGCACAAAAAAAAAACAGAAGCACTTTTTTCAAAGCAGCAACCACAACCTTTAAATGCCAGATGCACATGTACCAGTGAAAAGTACAAAGTAAATGGATGGAACTGTACGTTACTATTGACTATAGTATTATTTCATGAACAACATGCTCAAATCCTTAAAATCTAAAGATTTCTCTCGGAGTAAAAAAAAAAAAAAACGATCGACATCCTCACTGAAGAGTTGGACTGATTGACTCGCTCCAACCTTTTCTATCACCTCGCTTCCCCACAAATCAAACCTAACAAGTGCACACTGAAACATCCCAAATCATTTTGCAATCTGGCTTGGTGTTGCTCATGTCAGATGGATACAGTGACCTTTAGTCCTGACCTATAACTCAGAGTGAAATGTTAGGGACCAGAGTAAAGCTTTGCTCTACTGTACAGTTTGACACGCAGTTAATTCAGGCTGTGATGAGATTTCTCATCTGTATTATGTTCCAGCTCAGCTCAATTCTAACTCTCTCTCAGTGACTCTTTCTGACTTTAGGAGATAGTTTACGGTCAGACAGAGTTTCTAGAATAGTTGTTATTGAAGTATTCAATCTGACAGTCACACTGTTCCTTTAATACTACACCAGTGTCAGAATAGAAAAGATCAGTTTTCACTGTTTCTTGAACAGTAAAAATAACCACACCGCCGACGCTCAGAGCTATATTCCTCATCCAAAATGTGTGGGAGTTCAGGGTTTCACCCTGGAATTCAATGCCCTTCTTATTGAGCGTAAAACTGGCACTGTTCCATTATACCAATAAATACTTTTTTTTTTAAACTAGGTCTTGCTTACTACTATTTGCACAACACTTGAAGCCACTGGTGTACTGTTGTATAACATGGAATATACAGCCGGGTTTATTTTTAAATGACAAGCACATGTCAATGAGAATGATGCTGATTATCCCTATAATAAGCCTGAAGGTAAAACTGTTCCTACTGCAGGAGGATGGATTGTCTTGACTCCTTATTATGACATTTAGCCATCAGCTGTCAACCAAGCAAAGGACAGAGAGTAGGTGTAGTACTGCATATATCATGCAGTAAAGCATGTGTTTAATTTATCATAACACGAATGAGGGTAAAAAAATGTTAAAAAAGGATATATTTGTGTAGATGTTTTTGGCTGTAAAAAAACAGCTTGATCATGCTAACCATGCTAACCACCCTTTTTAACTTACTGTATATATTTGCTATATTCTGGCTCTATGTTTTTAGCAAAACAATTGCTGTATTTTGGAATTGTTTTAGTTACTTTTGGGCAAAAATGTAACTGAGCTAAGTTTTTATCTGCTTTTGGCCAATTTGAGCCCTTACCAAGGCATTTTAGCTACCTGGCTAATTTTTCTTTTAGCAAATTCTTATACATTTTAGGCTATATGTTTGACAACTGTGTAAGTATTTCGGGTCTCACTTAGTTATCCTTATTTTATTTGTCATATTTCTGCAGTATCTTCTGTTTGTATGCTATCCCCAGGCAATTTTTTGTTATTGTGTAGCTAGCTTTGGTCAAATTTACGAAACAATTTCTGTGAATTATTCTGAAGTCTGTGAAGGCTGATGAATAAAAAATAAAAACGAAGCATCCGTGACTTTCAGCTCATGTGATCAGCTAATAGAATGAGACTTAATTAGCCCAAGATATCGCGATTGCTCCTGATAGCAATCACTGCTGGTGTAAAGGTCACTCCTCTGGCTCTTTTCTTACAGTTATCTACTCATCAGTATTATTAATCATCATTGTGGATGTTTCCATTCGTCTCTTTGAGATGAAAAGTAATTATATGCATCAAAGCTAATGTATTCACCAGTGATCAGTGCAGACAGGGAGGGAAATGAAGTAGACAACAACAATGAAACTTAAACCCTCACCTTGATGATTGCCTCCAGCTCATCAGGAGTGACACAGGAATGGGTCTGCAGAAACAAAGCCTTCTCCAAGGTGATGCTGGTCTTCTGGTTTCTCTCAAACGGCATCTCCAGGGCCCTGAATGCCAGACCTCCACAAATCAGGTAGATAAGAACCACGATGAACACAGCGAGCACCGTCTTCCACTTCATCACCGAGTGCAGGGCTGCTGCGGTGGAGGCGTCCCAGTTGGTGTCCATACTTGCCACCACACTGGCAGAGCGGGAGGAAATGGACAGACGGGGCAGCGGACAGTGACCGTTGGCCTTTGGATCGCAGCCCATTGGGTTCTGCATGGTGGCGACGCTGGCCTGGACCAGACTGGACTTCACCATGCCAGGCTGGACCTTTTTGGGAGGGACCAAGTGGGTCTGAACAGCCACTGGGGAAGGAGTGAAGTTAAAGGAATTTGGGGTTAATATTTGGTTTGGTTACTTTTATATACATGAAACACTAGGATTGCAAGTACAGGTTTTGAACTGTCGACACGTTGTACAGTGATGACTAAAATCTAACACCATTCCATGAAGCCCTGCATTCCATCATTTGGATCAGTCCCAGTTTTAAAAAGGTGTGAAACTTGTTGTTATGTGTTATGAAGTTTCAGCAACAGACTGAAAATTGCTCTTCTTTTGTCACTTTTAGAAATATTGATTTATCGTGCGATTAATTGGATCCAAATTATGTTTGATTAATCAAGATTAATCCAGAGTTGTTATTAATCCACATTATAAATTGTAATCTTTTGACAACCGTATTAAACATAGGGTAAATCAATGGCAACTAATACTGTGAAAAGTGCCATTTGTTAATAAATATTGTCCAAAACATTGTTTAATATGCAGACGTCAGGTTTGCTGGACTAAATGCAGCCTCAACAGTAGAGCACATCAAAAAATGTTTTTTCTAAACTCAGCAAAGAAAATGAATTCACGCTCCTTTCTTAGAACAAATTTAGAATAAAATTGGCTTTTGTAAATTTTGAGTCTCTTTACAACAGCATTTGTCACAACAACACATTGAGAATCAAAAGCATTGTTACATTTCAGTATTTTTTTTCAAGTGCATTTTACTCCAATTTTATTCAATAAACTGTCATAATTTACAAAACCACCTCATGTTTCACTTTCAAAAAAGCCTGAAAAAAACCTTGAATGCACCCGATGGCTCCATCTCTTCCTCATGTTCAGCCTATGGGCTGGATAGGATTCAATTTTTGTAATGGACGATAAGAGAAGAGTAAGTGCCACTCTCTGTCATTGGCTTCTGGCTGGATTTTATAATAAATTCACGTGTGCTGCCATGGCAGGTCAACCATGAAGCAGCAGCAACAAGCGGCCAAATTTAGATTTCTTTAATGTATATGAGGCACTTTGGAGGCTATTCAGAGCTGCGGCCTTCACCTCCAACCTCCAAACCTTTCACAGCATGGAGAATGAAATGCCTCTGAGCCATGGGTGTAGCCGGGTACCCACTATGATGTAACTCTCACAGGCAGGAATATGAATAAGGTTTGTTCAAGCAGACACTCTTTAGCTTAATGGAATGGTGTCACTGTTGAGTTATTCTAAAAAAAAAAAAAAACACAAACCTACACACACCCACATAAACACACGGACACACACTTGGACACACATGTCCACTGAGAACCACACACCACCCTGATGAGCCAAGGACATCCAGGGAGTGTTTAACCCTCTGCTACAGGCGCTATAAATCTGGTATTTAATCTCTCGGTGTCTTCACGAGTGAATCAATAACAACAAAGTGATGTCACCAGATTACAAAAGGTACAAAACAGAGGTTTTCAATTTACAGTTTAGGTCCTTTATGGGCGGTGGCCGGCTATTTTTAGAGCGTGGCATGACTTGAGCCATAAAAAGACCATAACTCCACATTAATATCTGGTACATCATTAGTCGCAGTCCGTGTGATGGATTAAGCAGAAGATGCTACTGGTAGAATAATGACAGTTTTGGACGAAATCCATAACTAGTCCAGAGTCAGACTGTAATTGTTTTTCAGATCCTCCTGAATACATCCGCTGGCCAGGGGTGGAGGCTGAGTGTGATTATACAGCTTCTTCAAACCACTGAAGCTGCAGCTTATTGATTTTTACAAATTTAATAAAGCTTTTCATCCGATACTATGCTTACGCCGTCTCTTTTACTCCCCACATCTAACATGTCTGGGCAATGCATACGCATTGTTAAATGGGTCAGGAAGTACAGGAGAGCACCAGGAAGTACACTGTATACATTACTGTATCAATTAGCTGTTTTTACTGCCAAATACCAGAAAGTTCCATTCCCAGGAAATGTTTCGGAAACTAAATGGAAAATTTAAATTGAATCAGGTAAATTAAACCTTCTGTTGCAAAGAGTAACAGCTCACTGCATTGGATTCTGGGAAAATGATCATGTCTATTCTCTAACTATTCGAAAAGTTGTGAATCTCAGTAATGCTTTTAGTTCGGTTTTTATACTTGTCGCTGCACTGGCAACAAAAATGTGTCCTAGTCCTTGTTTTTGGTTTCTTGTACTGACAGTGACAAAAATATAGAAATGGTTCTGCTGTTTGTTTTTGCAGTGTTGACAACAGATCCGCCATGAATATTGTATCACCAGCACCGTGTGTAAAACCTGGAATTCGAAGTTGGAGTAAATGTGTACATTTGTGTGGGTCAGGTTACGTTGCAGGTATTCCACTCCCACACAGAGAGAGGCTTAGCATCAAGCTTCAAGCAGAGGGGAATCAAACGTGAAGAACTTTATTTCCGGTAAAAAATTATAACTGCCTTCAAAATAAGAGCTTTAAAGACTGTTGTATTTCAAGCGCTTAGGTCTGAAACAAAATCCAATCACAAATCTGACGATTATTATGCGCTGTCTTAAATTGATTAACGATACGACATCATACGTATATTTTATTGTTATTTTTATAACAGCGAAATTATTCAATTTTTTGAGAAAATTATATTACTTAATAGATATTGTTTTTGAGTATTTTTATTACAACAAATTACTACGAAGGTAGATTTTTTTTCGGTCCTTTAGTCAGTTTTTCTACTTTTATTTAAAAATTACCCCTACGTTTCCGGTCTACCGATCATATTTCTGTGTTTTTGACGCAAAAACAGCGGCGCTCCTTCCATACGCAGCTGAGCACATGAATAATAGAGAATAAAGGTCCACTCCCTGCTGCTTGGTTCTGTGCCGTTTCAGTAAATATCGAGATAAAAATTAAAAATGAAACGCCCTATAAAATGTACATATTAATCCAATTAATCACACGATTAATTTTCATATTAAATTATATCTTAAAAAGACAACAGTAGGAGTATTTGATTTGATTTCTTTAAAATGTTGCCGATATTAAAGCAGCTATAAATCGATAGATATCGTAAGTTGCCAGTCGGAAAAACAAAGCTGTATTTACCTTGTTCCGGGTCCCAGTTAACTTGTTTTCTTGGGGTTTCTATTGGGAATTTCATCTCGGTATTTGTTTGCAATCAGAGTGCATAGAAGAGATGACCGGCGCCAATCAGGAAAACAATTAAAAATTGAAAATAAAGAACCAAATCAGGAGAAATCCTTCTCACTCATCTTCATGACCATGTTTTCATGGGTTTGGGTAGAACATGTGTGAGGTAAAAACGCACCGCAAAATCGCATTGTCTGCATCTGCTGTAACCCCCTCCTCTCCCCCCGTTTCTCTCTCTCTCTCTCCTCCTCGTTTGGACACGTGGTGATCGCCTGACAGACTGAGAGACTTCTGAGACCTTTCTCTGAGCCGTAAAACGCTCTGTGTCCAGACCACAGCCAATCTCAGTGCCACACACACAGGAACCAGGGATCCGGTCCAGTACCGCCGCGCAGCCTGTGTCCAAACGGGCAACTTTACGCACGGCCGCCGGAACAACGGGAAAGGATGCTCGCACCTCCCTTTCATCCCCGAAACCTCACTATACTCCACCTAAATCCACTACAAACGGCTGGATGACGTTGTAAAATCGATTAAATACACACGTTAACTTATGTGATTGTTAAAAGCATACTCACTGTTGAGGGTTTTATTGTATCCAATGCTGGATTATCTCCTCATCGTTTGGCAGCCGGTGAATGTGGAGACCGGTATGCAGCGCTCCAAATCATTGGTAGACCTAAAGCATGACATCATCCACATATGGGAAAACCTGCATTATTTATGACCACTGATAGATAAAAGACTGTATATACTTAAATTATGTTATTCTCTATCTATCTATCTGTACCATTTTATACAATGTCACATCATTAGCTAACATTTGTCGACCTAATTGTTTAACAACTGTTTTCATGGCTATCTTTACATTATTACTCTGCAGATTTGGCTGGGTCTACATGCCAACGTTTACATATCTTCATCTCTACTTACTGTACAATTGCTTGTTAATTTTGTTATCACAGGCTGGTTATGGTCAACTAACATTCTGCTTTTTTGACGTGACAATCATCAGTGAGTATTTCTAATTTGACCAAAAATATGTTCTCATCAATTGTGTCAAGTACTAAAAACCACTAATGCTCTCACAATGCCTGGTGGGTAAAATGACACAGATGTTGTAAAAAGTCTAACCAACAAACCAGCAGAACAATAGAATTAGTAATGCTGCCGATATTGTGTCTTGTGAGCAGAATTGTTTTTTTGATCAGATGTTCTTTTAGTTGCTGTGTGTCCTGCATTGTTTTTCCACATTGCTGACACTGCTGTGTGATGTGATGCCTTATCTTGAGTAACATCTTTTACAAGGAAATGTAAGAGAAATTCAAAGAATGGACTAAACCTAATTAATTCACACAGCTTTTCTGTTCTGCTGAAGAATTATTTTTTGATGCAGAGGTTTTTTGTGCTGAAAGTGAAAACGATTCCATAATTTATCATAACTTGTTCATCATAAAAGTTTTTTTTAAATAATGATGTACCAATTTGGCGTGTCCGCCCTGCGTGCTGACGCCTTTGCGTCATTACGTCAGCAGCCGTAGCAACCGGCATGGCGACGGAGAAGCCTCGCTTAGCGTCTCATCTGCTTATGAGTTAGCATTAAGGTTTGTTTTTGTTATTCTAGCTTCCTACGTAAGCGATTTAAAATGTTTACTGTCGCGCGCACTGTGCTTTTTGAATGTAGCAGTTATTTGCAGTCCGCGTCGGGGAATATTCACGAGGAAAATGGGATACGCTGAGTTTGACATCAATATGGAATCGAGAACAGGTATGGAAATGCTAATAGCAATAGCGAGCTAACTAATGGTTGAAAGTACTCACTGATACTTTTACAAGTTTTAATGTAAATTCGATTCGTTCTGATAATTAACATCCCAAGTGTCTACGTATATAGGGTTCCTATAAAACTACCCTTAACTATTTACGGTACCATAGAAAAAGAAGAGACAATGTCGTCTTGTAAATGTCTTCTTGTCAGACTCTTTTCGTAAAAGTGTTAATAGAAATAACTTAGGGTAATTTTATTGACATAAATATATGTGCATTTTTTCAGTAGACGAACTGTAGTTTAGAAAAATATCTTTAAAAATATCTGTTTATCAATACACAAGTGCTCAATGTACTATAGCTCTTCACTACATGAACAAATAGTTAAGAGGAAAAGAAGAATAGCACATACATTTAAAAAAGATACAAAGAAATAATGTTTGATAATTATACCCTACAAACTGACTAGCTCTGTATTCTTGACCCAGGTTTTGTAACTCGTTTTATGAATAAACACAACTAGCCATCATGTGTATCCCTCCATATGTGTATTGTAGGGAGTGTGTCATCTGTACTGGGCTCCAGCACTGGGAGGAGAGCACAGACTTTGAAAAACAGCTGTAAGCTTTTATATCTGTGTGCAAATCAGTTTTTGAAATCCATCTTTTGTGGATATTTTGTTTGTAATTATTCTTTCATCTCCTCCATTTTCAGCTTTCTGTAGTCACTCATCCAGCAAGTTGACACAGTCCATCGTTAGAGACCACATGGTGTCTCATTACAAAAAGGTTTACTCGGCCAAAGGTGCTCACATTTAATGTTTTAATTTAATATTCAGCTTTATAACAAACCCAGGTAATAAATGTCATATGTTTGTTTGTTTTCTCACAGCTGCCATTGATAACTCTGTGCCCAGAAGCATGGTACACAGTGTGAAGTGTAAGTATTGATTATAGATGTTTTTAACTGTTAAAATGGGTTGTAAAATGTATTTTTTAAAGACATATAAAAAATACACCGATTTATTCTTCGACTGTGGTTAATCTTGTTCTTCCCTCCGACCTATAAAATATTGAATTATATGTATGTGGAAATTTAAATGGACTACATGTTAACAATATGACATCTGATGACAGAAAGGAGGAGCTTGCTCTGCAAAATCCATCTGTCTGTAAACACTGTGCTAGTGTTGAATAGTGAGTTATCAAATGACGGTTATTGATCAAATACAGGACGAGCTGAGTTTAAATCCAATGTGCGCTACTCCTCCACCACTTAATGACACTATCGAGTGTCTTAGAGCCATGGAAACAAGTGGTGGGCATTACTACTGAGGGGCCCCATCTGTGCAGGAAACAGACTGGCAGCACTGCTTCTTAGAACGTGTGAGGAGAACATGCAGATACAGCAGTTGTTCGGCACAAACACATGAATGTGTCAAGTTATATGCAGGACTTGGACACCACTTAAGAATATTATTGAGAAGTTAATCAAGTTTCAGTTAATCGGTAACAGAACCTTTGCTTTAGGTGCTTGTAAATGAATAAGAAGCATAAAAAAAAAGGTTTTGTTTCGCCGTCATTTTAACTCTTTGCATCACTGGTCAGTAGCTGCTCTGACAACAGCATTGATTAGCAGTCGTGCTCACTAATGCAGTCTCCGACATCACATTTAGGCCCAGGATGCAGCTTATCTCTAATGCTTACAGTAATGCCCCCCACCCCCCTTCCTGTTAATACACCATAGTACTCGACCGTCACGTAGCTTGCAGTTAAAGGCTGTTAGGTTGTTCTCTGGGGAGAACTCTGGAGTCATTCCAGTCATTTAAGATTATTACATGATTCCGAGGTTCAGACAACCAAAAAAGTGAGAAGAATTATGGTGCGGTCTAATGAAAAGGTGCACGTAACACATTACGTTATTATATAACACTCACTGGTCAGTTCATCAGGTACATTATTCTTCATGCCATATACTTAACAAGATGCTGGAAACACTTGCCAGAGGTTTTGAACCACATTTGAATTATAGCAAAATTGTGTTATAGCACATACTACTGCAGTTCTGTAAGATTGAAATCTGGGAAAGACCAAGGATGTTTGTTAATGTGCAATGACTTATTTTGTGTTTACGGACAGGACTGTAGATTCGTTGAGGTTCATGACACGGCGGGTTGTACTGCTGAAAGTAGAGGATTGGTTCAGTGTGGTCGATAATAGAATAGAATCGTCTTTATTATCTTTGTACTTGGTACAATGAAATACTTGGCTAAGCTGTGGATTCTAGGTAATAATCAGTGACCACTAAGGACCAAAACACACCAATAACATGTTCTCCACCTATCACAGCACCACTACCAAAAATGTGCAAGAACACACTCAGAATAAGTAGTGTGAAAGTTCAATTAGTGCAGATTATACCAATGGTGCGTAGTAGTACAGAAGAGGGTAGATAACACAGCAGTTATGGTGAACCTGTGCCAACCCAGTGTCCTGTTCTCAGCTGACACAAGTGAATGTTGCTGATGTCACCTGCTGCTCTACCTACTGTATCTACTTCAAGAACCAACATGTTGAATGTAGAGAACTGCTCTTCTGCAGACCTTGGTTCTGTCCAGCGGTTATTTTAGTTTCTGTTTTCTTTCCATCGGCCTAAACCAGTCTGTCCATTGTCCTCTGACCCGTGCCACTGGATATTGTCTCTTGCCAACCATTCTTTCTAAACCCTAGCTATGCTAGTAATGCGGGGGAATCCCAGTAGCTCAGCACTTTTTTTTTAAATCCGCATGGCCTACTGTCACCAACACCCATAGAACATCCAAAGTCATTTAAATTAACTTTCTTTTATTTGATGCTCAGTTTGAATGTCAGCAGTGTGTAGAAATGCTCTGTGTTGCAGACACGGGATAAGGAGAAGGACTAGTGTTCCTAATGAAGTGGTGTACATACAACATCAGTGTGAGAGAAAACTAATGTCTGTGTTTATTCATGTTCCATACCTGCTTACAGACAATGACCAAATCCAACAGGATCGTGTCAGAAAAGGCAGTCGTCCTCAGTCGGCTCGTTCTCTCCCACAGAAGCACAGCAGAGCCTTCCGCTCCCCAGCCCAGGTCTGACATCACTGCACTCCTGCATGTTTCCTACAGAAAACAAGCTACAGTTGGCATTTAAAATAGCATTTGATATCTAACTTAATAAACGTTCATTTTTAGAGCAGACTATCCATGCAGTATGATGACGGCAGATATCTCTACTCGAGAAGCTCCGTGGTCTCTAGCCCTGGATTCGGCACCTCATTTCACGTGAAGGACATTGATTATCCATCCCATAAACCGGCTCCTCCTCATCACAGCCGCCCGGCGTCACAACAATTAAATGCTCGCAATTTGGAGGCAGCTCTGATCAGAAAACAGTCAGCACTTTCCCTGGCAGCTTCCGGAGGTCAGAGCCTCCACAAATCTTTCCAGGACCCATTCCAGAAAACGTACAGCGGGGACCTGCTCCAGAAACACTCGCAGAACTTTACACCAGACAAACCTTTCACTCCAAAGACACTGAAGTCCGACAGGAGTTCATATCTGGAGAAATATCGCTACTACAGAGCACCGCGCAGGAAGCCCACTCAGGACTGCAGTAACTCTGAACAGGACACAAATATTGAGAGGTAATGGTTTTTTACTTGCAGAATTTTTCTTTTTTACCTTTTTTGTGTGTCTTAAATTATTTGTCTCTGCAGCACAAAACCTAAAGAATGTACACAGGATGTTGATGAGCCATCTCAGGTAAGAGACTTCAGAGGGAACTGTTCTCTCTCCTGGCTCAGTGCTCTACTACAAATGCAACAGTATTTAATCTCACCTCTCTTTTTACACCATGCTGTGTTTTATAGGGATTCATTTCAGAGCAGGTTTGGTTTGAGGAGGAGCTGAACAGCACTTACTTCTTAGCATCCAGACCACATGGTAAAATGAACAGGAGCAGAGACTGTTTACTCTTTGACTCCTCCTCCAGGTAAAAATGTGAACTGAAATGTTATCATTTTAAGGCCTCAATGTCATGTTGTAAAGTTTTCAAATAATTATGCACTGTCTTTTTTTCTAGGGTCTCATCAGACAGATATAAATCTGCCCTAATGAGGAAAGTAAATGCAGAGTAAGTCGTCAGTGTCGTGTCCAATCGCTGCGCAGCTCTGAAATCATGATACACAGTTAAGGATTGTGTTTCCACGCTAGAAATGAAAAGTTCACATTAATGTCTCATCAGGGAAGAAGAACTAAAATACTTGGAATTCATTTCTGCTGTAACAGAGGATATCTTGACCAGGAGTTTTATTTCTGACAGGTATGGGGAAGAAGAACTAAAATACTTGGAATTCATTTCTGCTGTAACAGAGGATATCTTGACCAGAAGTTTTATTTCTGACAGGTATGTCGACGCGTTTTGGGATCACGTTTGTTTAGATGATTTAAGAATAAGTCGACGCGTTTTGGGATCACGTTTGTTAAGATGATTTAAGAATTTTTACTGTTATTTAAATGTTTGGGTGTTTTTCACAAGGGTCATAGAACGAGTGATGAAACGCCACATTGATATGAATCGGCACCAGCTCGATGAGGTGAGTGGACCAGTATTTAAAGGAATTCTAAATATAGGTTTTGCAATTTTTTCCAAAAAAGTTTTTGTTGATTTTTTTTAACCCAATATTTGTGGGATGTGTGATGAATATTTTGATACTTGAAACCCACATGCATCTGTGTGCATGGTTTGTTTCAGGATAAAATGCGCCACCTTCTGGTCGTGCTGCGTAAAGACTTTGAAGAGCCAACCAACACACCCACCTCCAGAACAGGTGTTGATAAACGCACTGATCTAGTGGATTCACTTCTACCCTATCTGGAGTCAGAGGAGAAACGAGCGAAGACCAGAGGTGATAGTGACGTCTTCTCCAATGCTTCAGTGAATAAACGCAGCGGTTCTCCTCATTCCACTGAAGCCTTATCAACATCCACACCATTACATCCGACTGAAAAGGCTGCTTCATCTACAAACACAAACAGAAATGAGCAGGAACTCGACAGTCAGGAAAAATCCAATGGCTCTCCTCAGCTCAGTGAGCTTCTTTCGGAAAATACACCTGTCAACGAAGAGGAATTCCAGAACAATCAAATTACAACGACTTACACGAGTGGAACGGTCAGCACTGAAACCCAGCAGCACACCAGTGCTGTATCCAGTGAAGAAGGTTCTCATCAGGATCGAGCGGAAGTCTCGCCTCACGGACAATCTCCAGAGGTTGAAGATCTCGGGAGATGTTTATCAGAGTCACTTCAGGTGTCCAGCAATACCTCCACCAATGAGAACACGACCAACGACCAGCGTGAAAACACGGACGATTCTTCCAGTGATGATGATTTCTGAATTATTTTTTTTGCTCTGAATTTTTTTTTGCTTTGTTACCAGAAAAATGTGAACTAAATCAATAACTGTATAATTTAATGAGAATAGTTTTACTGAGTTTTTAGTGTATTTTTAAAGCCAATTTATTAAAACAGAGTATTTTTATTTTCCTTTTTTGCACCATGGCACCGAATTCTCTTCGTACATTTCATTGAAATGTAGTTGAAGCTCAGTTTTAAACTCATCAGCAGAACTGCCCTGTGTTTATTGTAATTTCTTTAGAAGTCCACATCACTGCACTGATGAGGAGTGTTAAAGTAGCGGCCATGTTTCTTCGCAGTGTTTGCAGTGTTCCCAGTTAGCCTCTTGTGTGTGCTGTACTGTTGCTCTGTTCACAGATTCCTAGGAAAAAAAATATTTTTACAGTCAAACTTAAACATATCCTGCGTTTTACTTGACAGTTGCCTCTGACATGATGTAGCCACTGTAAAATGACCAGAGAGTGTCTTTACAATAGCAATACATTTTCTATTCTTCTCACTGTTTTGTGTCTGCGACTCATTTTCTCTAAATGATTTATAATTCCTTTATACATTAGCATTGGGTTCAAGCGAGGCTAATGAAGCATCACACAATATCTGCACAAGGTTTCGTTTATGTTGCTAAACATATACATTGGCATCAATGAATAAAATCATGTTTTTAAGATCAGATGTCCACTCACCAGCCACTTAATCCAAAAAGACTTAGCGGGCTTTTAGCTATGTTTATTTTTTCCATTTATTTTTTGCTAGCTATTGAGGTGCTAACTTCTACCCAATGCTCTTGGTTAAATTTGACTACTTTTTATCTATCCTAAATTAACATATCTAAATCGAATATCAGCAAATGTTATTTACTTGGTGAATATTTATGTATATGTTTATTTTTGACACAGTGGGATAAATGCTGTTATTTGTAATATTTCAAGAACAGCAGTTTAAGAGGAATTACAGCTTTTTAAATAAAGTATATAAAGTTTGAGTGGCCTGAGGACATTTTCATATGAGTATGAAGTGTCAATTATGTTTAGAAATGTTTAATAATAAAGTATTACCATTCAGTGAGGTCTCTCCTTAAGGCTAAAGATAATTTCCCATCAGCTGATGAATGCTCACTTGGTGCCTTTGATAAGCACTGTAAGCATACATCAGTGACAAAGATGAAAGTCCTGCTTCGTAAAAGCTGAAAAGGAACAATTCCAGCGTTGCTAATTAAAATGAGCAGTTTCAAATAATCGCAAACATCAATATGATTAGAGATGGAAATAAGAAAAATGAGGGTAAAATACTGACGGGAGAACAGGCTAAATCCCAGAGGAAGAGCAAAAAGAAGACAATGATGCAACATTGTCCACATCAACTGCAATTACAGACAATCAACAACCGTCCCTCCAGTAAACCCTCATTTTGTAGTTCACTGTGTTTTCTCCATAGAGTGATTGGATCATGCAGTTTAGCAAATCCTGTTCGTCCGGCAAGTTGACACAGTCTGTCATAGACCACATGAAATCTCATCACAAAAGGGTTTACTCAGCTAAAGGTAGGTCACATGACCATTGATCACATGATCATCCGTAGTTAAACAACATGGTGTCAGGCTTACTTATTGACGTTCTCCTGCAGCTGTTGTTGATACCTCAGTACCCAAAAGCATGATACAAATATGTAAGTACCTAATAATCACCATAATAAATATGATTCTTCATTTAGCACTTAACTCTAATTTTCCAGCCTGGGGTCAATAAAGTATATCTATCTACTTTAAATCTTTTTATACTGACTTTGTATTTTTAAACTATGTTATAGACAATGGACAGAGAAACAGGGATCGTTTTTCACAAAAGAGCACCACAACCTTTTGCTCCTTGGCACAAGTAAGGCATCAAAGGAATTGATCTAATTTAGTAATTTGATTTTTATATATAAATATGTGGCATTTGTCAATGAGCATGTGTGCTGACTCATTTCAGAGTCAACTGTCCGTGCAGAATGATGATGAACCCTATCTTTGCTTGCGGTGCCCCCTGGATTCCAGCCCAGGACTCAGCCCCTCTTTTCTCCCAAAGCACATTGTTTATGAGTCCAGTAAACTGGACCATAGCCGCCACACTTCTCCAAGGTCATCTCTGCACAGAAAACAGTTGACATGTTCACCTTCGGGTTCAGGAGGACAGGGCTGCAGCAAGACTTTCCGCGGTCCTGTCCAGAATAAGGCCACCAAAGACATGTTTCAAAAATACTCTGATAATTTCACAACAAAAAAGCCTTTCACACCACGGATCCTGAAGTCGAACCAAAGTTCAACCCTTGGAAACTATCGCTACTACAGGGGGCCACGAAGAAGGCTTCCTCCAGACTGCAGTGACTCCAATGTGATGCATCATGGGAATAATGACACAAGGTTGGTTTTTTTTGTTTTTTTTTAGGAGATTAGATTGAAACAATACATTCAGTTCATGAAGCAGTCCTGCAGTCGTTTTGATATGTGTCCATTTGTTTTCAATACAGCACCAAAAACAAAGAATGCGTACAGGAAGTGGATGAGACGTCTCAGGCAATTTTCTGTTTCATCACTTTTATCTTTAGTTTTGAAAACAACAAATTTGTATTTCATCTTCAGAGAAACTTGACAAGTGTTACTGTAACGTATTAATTTTATTTATTTTTTGCTTGTTTTAAAGGGATTTATAACTGAACATGAATGGTCTGAGGATGAGGTGAATGAAATCTATTTATCACCACCCAGACAACAAAGTCAAGGAAACACAACTTGTAACCCTACATCCAGGTATACACACTGTTCCTGATATTTGCAGTACCTTGCAGGTATTTTTATTTTTATTCCTGATATTTGCAGTACCTTGCAGGTTTTTTTTTTCAGTGTAAAGGTCTAAAATCAACTTTCTGATTGTAGGCAATCAGCAGAAGCCAGTAAATCTCCTGCATTGGAAACAATATTTGCAGAGTAAGACTTTATTCCTTCGTTTTTTTTAAGTTCTGTTTAAACAGCTCAAACGTAAAAATAATGAAACTTGCTATGAAGTTAAGATTAATTTAAGTAAACCAAAGGGATACTGAGAACAAGCCCCATAACAGCTAAGTTGAAAGTCCATAGCTAAACATTGTGAATGTTAATTGATTAATGATACAGTTAACAATGCTAACTTTCTAGTTTAAAGTTATGGATATTCACAGCAGAAATCCGATACTTATGTTTAAGCATTTACACCGAGAATCTGGGTGATGTTTCAAAATAATGTTGTTGTTTTTTTCACTAATATTAATACCAATGATTTACTCTACCATAGGCAACAAGAAGAGTTAAAGTATCTGGAATTTATATCTGCTGTAACAGAAGATATTTTATCCAGGACTCATATTTCTGACAGGTTTGTTTACGTTTCACAGCCTTGTACATTCCCTGTTCTCGTGTTTAACTGTCCATGTCCTCTGTAAGGTCGCTAGATTTAGTGATGAAACGCCATTTTGACATGAACCAGCATCAGCTGGATGAGGTGAGTGCGTAGCTGATGTGCAAAAATGTAGATGTTGTTTTGCAAACCTCGTGACCGAACGCTGTTCCCTGTTTTAGGGGAAAATGCGCCATCTGCTGGCCGTCCTGCGTGAAGATTTTAAAGATTCAACCAACAACCAGTCAAACCATTGACTCTCCACACATCGAGTCTGAACTGAAGAGCAGTGATCTGCATAGAGCAGTAATCATGTTGATGACTGAATGCATGATCACATTGTTTTACAAAGTGACTGTGTGTGTGTGTGTGTGTGTGTGTGTGTGTGTGAGAGAGAGAGAGAGAGAGAGAGCGGTACTTAGCTTTCTTTAATAGTACAAAACCATATAGACTGTGTATTAAGTTTATTGTTTACTATAATTTGGCCATCGGTGTGAATTGATGTGTAAATGGTTAATGGTGGTTATGGATAATCAACAAACAATTAAATTTACAGAATTTCAGTGGATTTTGTCATTAACTGATGTAAACTCATCCTGACATTGGATTGATCTCTTTTTTATCTACATTTCAACATTTAATTGCATGTTATGAATTTAAATATAGCCAAATAGTAAATTACTACTACAAAGGTGCTTTAAAATTTAAATATAGCCAAATAGTAAATTAGTAATCTAAATAGTACTATCTAAATAGTAAATTTAGATAGCACAGAAAAAGCTGAAAAGTAAAATACTAATTTATTAACATTGAGAAAACCAAAGTAAGGCTAGATAAAAAGTTAACTAACACTGAAATATATGTCAATTGATTATATATATATATATAAACATATAAACGTTTGGACAGAAATGGATAAAAGTGTGCACTAAAATCTGAACTAGATAAAACTTTACTCCTAAATTGTTTAATTGGTCTTAACATGATAGTTAAAACATTTTCAGGTGCAAAAAACAGTTTAAACTATGAAAAGAAATACTGGCCTTTTAAATGTATCGAGGTGCCAATATTGGTCTTCGGGCCACATTTTGACATTATCAACTAAATCATTACAGGTGGCGTAATGACGCAACCCTGCCTTGATGCGTCAACAAATGTCAACATTTTTGATTCGTGTGAGAATCCCAGCTGTAGAGACATTGAAAAGCCAGATGTCTTTTAAAGGGTGCTGTTATTTTTAGGGTGTGTCCATGTTACAGCTGTCAGTGGAAGCAGCAGGTAAACAGACAGGTCAGCTCCAGGCAGCTGTCTGTGGTCCCTCCCATTTCTGCCATTTTCACTGCCAGGCATTCCAGCCCTCTGATGTCATGATTTGTGAAACCCCTCTGTATTATTCCGCCACGGAGGCACAAAAGTACTCTTTAAGCATCAGACCTTGTGAATATAGCAGCTAGTATTTAGTACACATATTGGAAGATGTTTGTGCTTCACAGTGTAATTATTAAGTTACTCGAAAAGGCGTTTAAGCTCTAATGTCGAAAATATAGTCCCGCGGAGGTAGACAGGATCCACTTGTTGCGCTCCAATCCCAGGAAGTGAAACACGTTTGGAACTTGAGTGAACTGTCCGAGTGAGGCATGGAGTGCTGCGGCAGCTCTGTACTACAAACTATCTGTGGACAAATTAAACACCTTTTATCGCAGTGAATATTTCAAGGGTCCGTTAACAGACTTCAATGGCGCCACCCCGAAGGACTTGATACATGTTGGACTACTTCGCAGCACCTGTTGGAAACAGAAAACCTTTCTTTTCTACCAAAACATTTACCGGCGACGTCAGCTCCCCAAGGGTGTCGTCTATTTGCTGGAACGTAAGTTAGCATGTTAGCAATAATGTTGTATTATTGTTATTAAGGTGCTATTACGTGATAACTGTACGTGTATTAAGTTAAGTACGCTTCCCTGGCTATAAACGCTTTTAAATGAATTATGTTGTAAATGTATTTTAGCATGATTTATTGTAGCAAAGTGTTATATAGAAGGGCTTTTGCTTGTACTTAGCTGTCTACTGAGACTGGCTGTTTCGACACTGATTTGCCAGTGTTTATTTACTGGGAAGAATTGCAGGTTGTAACCAGTACCTTCTGTAAAAGGTGACAGACCTTTTTGTAAAATTAAGTGCTAATTTATAGTGTAATCACTTACTTTTTAGTTACGTCAATAGGGGTTTTAAACATTATCTATAGAAATGGGAAAAACTCCGTGTTAAATTCAACTGTCATTTTTACTATTTTAAAATAGATTCTGATTTTTTTAACAAAAACTAATTTCCACATTTATCAGATAAGTTTAATAAATATAGAACAATGTTGACCTAATTTGTATAAAAACAGACATTTTGACTAAAGATAGAACTTTAATCCAACTTCAGTCACATAAAACATGTTCCTGTGTCGCCCCGATCCATTTCTCTGTTTGGGTGAAGTCTTGTGACATATATTCTCTTGGACTTTCAGATTTGTCTACGATAATGAACTCTGAAACATTCAACAAACCTTTGGGAGGACACAGAGGAGGATAATCTCTCAGGACCAAGTAAAGACTTCCAATCCTGAGAAAGTGTTAAAAACATGCCCTTGCCATTTGGCTTCAAACTCAAAAGGACCAGAAGGTATACGGTTTCAAGCAAGAGCTGTCTAGTCACTCGGATCCAGCAGCTCAATGGAGATTTTGTTGAGTTTACACTTTCAGTGGAGAGCACCGGGCAGGAATGTTTAGAAGCAGTTGCCCAGAGACTGGAGTTAAGAGATGTAAGTAATTTCTGCATACAACAAGTGCAGATTGTTTTTACTCCTGTTGATGTTTGTGGCTGGGTCACCAACTCATTACGTGAGATTTTTGTCCAGCCTAATATTTGCTAACTGAGTACTGAGAAGCTGAACACCAGAAAGTAAGAAGGTGGTTTTCATTTATTATTTTTATAAAATCATCTTATGTCCTTGTTGTGTTTACTTTATTGTAAAGGATATTAGTTCAGAAAATACATACTTTGTGTGATTACATCCATATCAGTCATGGACTGAAATGGACCTAGGCTTTAGTGTTGTAATACACTGACTGTTGCACAGTGAATCAATAGCAGAAAGTGCTGACTGAGGTCATGTGGAATTTGTCTTGGATGATGCAAATTTACATAACACCAAGGTTTCATATTTTTTTTACTTTTTGGTATCCTTATGAAAAAGCAGTGAACCATTTATTTATTGCTGATGTCAGCAGCCTTGCTTGGGCATTTATTGTTTTGTCTCATTTATTAATCTAATATAAAAGAGTTAAATGGTCTTGTAATTTCCATAAAAAGCAGATTTAGCATTTTAGATTTTTATTTTTGCTGAAGTGAACTGTATATATAATCACTGTTTAATGAATACAGTTTTGTGTTTTGCAGACCAAGTACTTCAGACAGCTAATTGCCATTCATCATGCTAATATGTTAATATGTTAAATTGGTTTCGTAATAATAATTATTTTGGATTTGTATCTTTAGACAGGCTGCAACCTGTGATCATTTCTGTCATTTGAAATTCATTTTTAAAATGGTCAAGTATGTGATCAGAGAATATTCTACCACTTAATTACTTGGACTCAGTGTACCTGTCCTTCCGTGAAGTACTTGTTGCAGAATGTGAATTTATTTTCTTTCTTTTTTTAAGTTGCCCTTTCTTTGATCACAGTTTGTGTTTAAGGCGTAACATTTCTGCTTGCTTTCGTTGCTCCTAAGATAACATACTTCAGTCTGTGGTACTTCAACAAGCAAAACCAGCAGCGGTGGATAGACTTGGAGAAACCGCTGAAAAAGCAGCTGGACAAGCATGGGTTGGAGCCCACCGTTTACTTTGGAGTCGTGTTCTACATACCTAGTGTGGCCCAACTGCAACAGGAGATCACAAGGTGATGCTCTTATCAGTGGCATGATGAGATGTCATAGCTAATGCATTTGAGTTCACAACTGAATGCTAAGTAAAGTCCTGTAAAACCTTTAAGGACTTTTTGTTGACAAGAAAAACTTTCTGTTATAAATTCAACCAATCAGAGAAGCAACAAATTACCCTTGTTTAAATGATGTATTTGTCAATGTATAGATATTACGTTAGTGAGAAAATGTGCCCTATTAAACTACCATTTCTGCATACCTGAAGGATGTTATCATGTTTGCATACTGACTGCTTTGTGACTGCTTTGTATGTTACCTACCTTTTACATACCGTTCTGTCTGTTCCCACAGATATCAGTATTACCTGCAGCTGAAGAAGGATGTTTTGGAAAGAAGGATCTCTTGCTCACTCGATCAAGCTATACGGTTAGCTAGCCTGGCAGTGCAAGGTAAGGTCAAACCATCTGTCCCAATTGCAATGTAGAAAACAGAATGTAAAAATTGGTCAAATACGAAAGAAAGTTCCCTCACAGCTCGTGTTTTTTATGACTATTAACTTCCCCTTCAAATCAAAACTAGAATTCTATGTTAATTCCAACATTTGGACTTGTAACAAATCAAAATAGGCGTGAAACACAGACATCTAGCTGCTTTTATTTGTCTTTTTTCTGTTCCAACAATTTTCAGACAAAATATTTTAATAATAATTATTATTATTATTTTAAGCGAATAATTATTATTATTATTATTATTTTAAGCGTGTTGATTTACCTCCATTAATAATCATTGCACTTCATCATTATTAATTGGTATTGGTCCACAGCTACCATGTGATTAATCAGGTTAATTTTTTTAAGCATTTGACAGCACAATCTAAAATGTGATGCAGGTTAGCTGTTACCAGGTTTAGGTGTTGTATGTGCGTGTGAGTAAGAGACAGTGACACATCTTTCCACTTTTGCCCCTGCAGAAGAATCTCAAACCTTTCTGGCAAAGTTATATCAGGCTCTGCAGCTTACTGACCTGGTTGTTGGCATAGCGAAGCTGTTGAGATCACTTACTGTCACAGTCATGTTCACATAACTGACCAGACTGCTATATGTGTCTTGTAGAAAAGCTCCATTGAATGTCTTACAAATGTGCCTTAGATTTAGCCTTTGCTTTTGTTGTCTGGCCCACATGGAGTTAGTTCTAAATAAAGCGCTGTGATTCTCCCACTTGTGTCCCTGGCTGGGATATTTTAGAATGAAGGCTGGTTGTAGCCTTGGTTGAGGTGATGCCTGGGATACTTGACATTGTTGGGAATGTTGCCAGCAGCTAGTTTGAAGTTAGACCTCATGTTGTCAGCCACTGATTCAGTTCCCTGCCGCAATTATTGGGTCATCCTCCTCAAATATTACTCAGCATACACAGCAGTTAAAACTCTGAACCTAATGCAGTAATAACGCCCCATGAATAGACGACAGCCACTTCACTGCTCTCTTCATTAATCTATTTTATTGATGCATTTTCAGCTGACTTTGGAGACTTCAATCGATATGATTCACAAGAGTTTTTGCAAAAGTTTGTGCTCTTCCCTATTGTAAGTGTTGTATCGTTCATTCTCAGCATTTAAAATTAACAAATTGCATGTGTGTTTTCCATTTAATATATCAAATTTCACTCGTCTTTGCAGGGCTGGATTCAGGATGAGAGAGTTCTGGAGGAGGCCACCCAGAAAGTCGCTCTGCTCTATCAGTCCTACAGGTCAGATTTTTTAAAAATCAGTTGCATCTCAGCAATTATTATTATTGGCCATTTGAAGACTGTACTTGCAATTATGAATGCAAATATGTGTGTGCATTATTGTAAAATGTAATTACTTTTTAAAAGCATGTTCTCTACCTCCTCATCCATTATCATCAGCCCACAACAATTCACATTTAAATGTGTTTAAAGTTTCCTCAAAGGAAAGACAGGTGTGAAATGTTGGCATAAGTAGCACAAAATATTTTTTAAATGTAATTTTTTGGCATTTTTTATATTTCTCCAGGATAAGGCCTTAAGTTCCTACAAATACAAATATTGAGTCCATTTTTAAGAGTTCTCCAGTGTTTTGTTTTTTTCATTTGTCTCGTAGTCGTTACGTATGTCTGCTGATTAGAGTTCTGTTGTCATTTTTTCTTCAGGGGTTTGCCAGCACCAGAGGCTGAGATGTTGTACATGCAGGAGGTGGAAAAAATGGAGGGCTATGGTGAGGAAAACTATCAAGCCAAGGTTGGTCAAGATCTCTGGGAACTATTGGCATTAAATGTAAATGTAAGATATACATTACCATGGTCATAATTGTCCATTTTTACCATGTGTACAGGACAGCACAGGCTCTGATGTCACCATTGGATCGTGCCTGGAAGGCATCTTTGTTAAGCACAAAAATGGAAGGCCGCTCCATCTGTTTAGGTTTGTTTACCACTCAGCAAATACTCTGCACATCTCAGTATGAAGCGTTGAACAGTGGAGGCTTTGTCAGCTAACCTGTCACTCTCAGGGGAAATTACATTGCATCAGACAAGCTATGCATTTTCTTGTATAGACTAAATTGTTGTGGTTCAGCCCACAGCCATACACAGGGAAACTGTGTCCTGTTCACAGGAGAGAAGAGTCAGGTAGATGGTAATTGTTGGAGACATTACTGTTGTTAGTCACATGAAACGCAGACATTCTTGACCTACGTTGAATTCTATGTACATGCTTAATGAAAGCCACATACATCTGAGATGCCAACTCAGACATACTGTATATTACTTTTCTATGTACACTGTGTACAGAGGTATGCTGAGAGGTTCT